GGGAACTTGGGTATGATGTGGAGTATAATTCAATATGAAATCATGAGATATTATTTTCAAGTGCCCTCACTTTAATAACCATGTAGACAAGAGTGAAAAGGACTAAAATGATTACTAATTAAAGGCAAAACGGGTGTAAACTTAAACCTCCTCAATAAACAAAAACTGTTCAAAAAGAAGGTTAAATTGTTTTGTTTCAATTACGATATTCCTAGAGCATACAAAAAACACAAAATTTAACTGTACGTCTATTTAAGATTGAAAAGATTTGTTTTCTATCCAAAGAAAGAAAGAAAGTTGATTGACACAAAAAAAATACCTCATCTTGTAAACTCCACTCCATTTGTAATGCCCCTCAGATGAGACTCACAACAAAATCTTGTGGGGCATGCATGCAAACTCAGTACAAAAGGGGAATGAAAATGAAGCTGCCAGATGCATGGGCCTGAATTACTTGCAAATGGCTATCTCTTCCATTTCTAGTGATTTTTGGTAGTAGAAAATACCAGACAAATGGCAGCAAGATTTGAAAAACTATAGTGGACATAAGCCATTAGTAATTTATGTTCACACAATCATAAAGCAGACACTTTCAGGTAATTATTCTACTGATATTTTTATTGTAACAATATATCTTGTCATAAAGTTATTAATAAGAATCTCATAAAACCCTTTAGACGATTATAATTATTATTTTTCCAGTTGGAAAGTGCAAGATTTTTGACAAACTAGAACTAGTGATGAATTACAACCTAGTTGTTCATTCAACTCTTAACAATAAGCTATGGAATTTGGAAATGCGGTATTGAGGCATAACCCAACCCAGTTTAATATCTATTAAAATTAATAGCATCAATCTCACCCTATAAAATGAGCTTTAAACCATCCACAATGGTGCCTGTTTTTCTTTTATGAAGTCCATAAATTTTGACAGTCAAATGATTTCCAAACTAGTTAGTCATGGAGCAGTTGACAACAATATATACCACAAGAATGCATAACAAGACGGAATGAGCAACATCCCTTAAAATTTAAAATGTAAATTTGTGGCTAATTGATCATCAAATAGCTAATTAGATGGTCAATGGTGTTTTTGAAGGGATTTAAAAAATAATTAAAAAAAAATTCAGCCTTTGCCAAGTAAAACTCTTAAGGCCATTACAGGTAAAAGCTATGTCGCGGGTAGCTTTTATAAATAGGCAAAAAAAACAGCAGAAGACAAATAAGAAACGTGGCGGCTTGAGGTTACTGCTAAAGATTCATATTTTTGAGAAATTCGATGCTTGAATTTTGGTTTTTGAAGTTTCCTAACATCAAGGTGCAAATATTAATCCTCTTCTGCTCAAAATTCTCAACATTTTTCCAACGATTGGTTTTTGTGACATATGGATTACGATTTGTGATGCTGAAGTGAGGGTTTGTTAACTTTATGAGTTTACATGTTGAATATCTACCTTTTGGAGAGTGCAATTCAGTTGTTCTTGTAGAGATTTATCGGTCCTTCAATGATGAGGCATGTTTGAACTCCAAACCTAGGCTTAAAATGTTGGAACTTGATTTGAATGGCTAATTTCTTGCTTGATTTGTTAATGAGAGTTATGGGTAACTTCTTGAAACAAGAATTCAAGTTTATTGGTTGATACATAGATTTGTAGATTTTTGAAAAATTGTATCATAATCTTTGAGATATTTTTTATATAAAAAATTCAGATCTTGTTTATGGGAAAGTTTTTATAATTCAAATCCTTATGTAGATTTGATATTGAGTAAGAAGTTCATGACAATTTGAAATTCATTTCAAATGTTTTAATTTAACTCAAAATTCTTATTCATTGAAATTTTAACATGTGAAATGACTAACTTCAATAGACATTTTAGATTAGGTCTTTAGGTTACTTTTTTTAAAAATTTGACCTGAATTTGTTCACGTCAAAGCAGGTTGACCAATTTTAGGTTAGTTACCCCTAGTTTTAATGATTAGTGAGATTGGGTTGTATGTTTTTAGTCTAATTTGAGGCATGAGTTTTGTTTAATTAGCTAGGTTGATTGATTTGAATTAGTTACATCTTGGGTTTGGTCTTAACAGAATGATAATTTTGGGTTTGATTTTAATTAGGGAAAAGTAATCATTTGCTTTTTATAATTTTAATTTATTATAACTCAATCTTTATAGTTTGACTTAGAAGTTTCCCAGTCTCTAAATTTTAACTCTTACAAACTCAATCTTTATAATTTTAATTATTTTAAATATTAGTTCCTATATTTTACACAATAAAATTAAAAAATATTTAAATTATGTTAAAATTTAAAAATATTTTAAATTACTAAACTCTTTTAAGCTTTATAAAAGTTATAAAGATTAAAATTTTAAAATATAGGAACTAATATTTAATGGCTAAACCTCTAGAAAAATGAGTTAAATAGGACAAAGATATGAATTGAGTTACAATTAAGTTACAACTATAAGGACCAATCGAGTTAATTACAATAAATTAAAGTTTAGAGATTGAGTTATAATTAAATCACAACAATATAAATTAAATAATTAATTTTTTTGATTATTTGGCCACACCCACACACACACACATTAGAATACTTGGACTGTACTACATTTTTTATTAAAAGAATACTTGAGTTTTATTAGTTTAATTAGAACTTGTTTTTTATTTGACTAGACTTAATTTTTTAGGTGTTATACGGCCATTTACATCAAGTAATTCCACACACCCCACTCGTGTAGGAATCATATTATTAGATGGTATGAAGCAAGAACAAATGCTTTTAAAATATCAAATCTATAATGTCCAATGGTTGTTCCACACTTGTAACAGGTATGGCATATGCCTCAAATTGCTCTAGGACACCATTATTGCATGCCCAAATTATATTTGTGACACAAGGGCTTAAATTATCAGGAATGACTATATCATCCATTTCTAGTGATTTATTGTAGAAAATATAACATAAATGACATCAAAATTTGAGAACTATAATAAGCATAAGGCATGAATAAGTTGTGCTCACAAAGTATATAGTAGACACTTTTAGCCTATTCTATTCTCCTGATATTTTCATGAACCAGTAGTATCATAAAATTAGTGGCAAGAATATTAAAAAAAGAAAAATCTAGTTAATCATGCAGAACTTGATACAAATGAAAGCAAAACACATTTTCCTTTTAAAATATGTTGATGCAGATACCTTCACGTCCAAGGCCATGGAGAATTTTGGATATAATTGCTAGGCATGTTGAACCTCCATCCACAGCCAAGACTCTGATGCCAAAAATTGGTACTGATTCATCTTCTCTGTGAGCATCAAACTCCATGATGACAATAACAAATAGATCTATTGCAGAAGTTGCAATATCAAGGGGAGAAAAAAGCGCAAAGCATTGCATTTATTATCATTCACCTGAACCACTAGCATTCTTTTTGTATGCTAGATTCAATGTACAAAGTTATTAATTGGTAAAATCTCATTCCTAAAGGAAATGTTCGGACAATAACATTATTTTTCATTTTTTTTAATTTCAACAGAAACCACATTTTCACCCCTGAAGTAAGGCCTTATTACAAAAAGGAAAAAGCACTTCGAAATGTTTAAAAAAAAAAAAATCCCAACACTTCAGACAAAAGATAAAACACTAAATTCTTAGTTAATTTTTGGAATTAGAAATAAACTTTTTGGCGGTTGATTGACAAGCCACCATCATAATAAAATCACTCCACCTCTAATCGTTAATTTTAACCAGTATTTAGTATTTTCATTTCAACATAGAGTCCAAGAGTCCTTTTTTAAAAAAATAATTTGAAGTCAATGTTATCTTACAAGCCTTTTCAAGGGAAAATAGATTCCCCTGAAATTTAGCAGATGAGATAAATTTACATGCTTCTTAATGCAAAAAATTCACTTATTAACTTTGTATAATACATTAATTATATTAAAAAATTTATTGAAAAAAATTACATATTACTATTACTCCATCAATCAAGTTAACAACAACAATAAAACTTACCCTACTAAATGAGATCGACAATAAATTAAAATTAAAATAAAATATTTTTAATGAAATACTACATTACCTTCTTTTTCTATAAAGCATATTTACCAATGAAAGCCTTTTGGTTCATGAAATAGAGTGAAATGGAAAAGAGAATAAAAAAGGCGTATTTATAAATAAAATTTTCTTTTTTTCCCTTGATAAAAAAAGTGAGAAAATAAAGAGTTAGTACTAAGTAATGTTAGTAGAGAACACACCCAATTTTTGTGCAAGAGAAAGGAGAACCCTTTTGTTTGCACCAACCAAATGAGGTACAAAGAAATAGATTATCATTTGGACTTATTTTTATTTCCTAACTCAATGAATATAAAATCAAGATATTGATTTGAATCAAAACTCAGAAGACAAGCAATAACCTTTTTTTTTTTTCAACTCATAAATGTAAACAATGAAGGCTTTCAAATATACCATACAAATAACTGGGAGACATACTACTGCAATGCATGTATAAAAACACAAGTTTAGCATGTCATTTATCCCAACATACCTACCATACATGTTAAAAGGTAAAAGTGCAAATTTAATTATAAATTATTTTTCAAGAAATATTTAATATGTTATACTATGAAATGATATAAAATAAATTATCAACTATCAAAAACATAACATTTGATATCCTTCTGTCAAATTGGAAGGAACCCTCATAAGTCGACCAATGTAAAAAACAAGTTGAATGTGACGTTGGCAAACAATAGGCTGAAGGTGTAGGTACCTTCCTTAACATGAGGGGCAAAACAAAATGTAGACCATCTGTATGATTAGAATGTAGGGCTAATGTTCAAGGATTATGTGAAATGTTTTGACAAAAGATTATCCTTGATGATTTCATAGTAGTTAATTGAAAAGCCTTGTGAAGATCTCTTGCGAAGATTATCCTGTATAATTTCAACCATGATCGATGTATCAAAAGATTATGAAGAAAAACATCAGTTGAGGCTATAAGACAACATAATCTAAATTGAAATTCTAGCCACACAACACAAGAACTCAACACTAAGAAAGACCGCAATTTACAGAAAAGAAAATGAGATTTATACATGAATGGAAAGAAACAGAAGCTAATAACATAAGAAGTTATCTCACCTCTGAAGACCCACCCTAGACATGCAAAAAAGAAACCTAATACCATACTAACACGCCAGTCTATGTTCAAACTCTTGTTGCCTCAACATTTTCCAAAAGCATTTCAGGACTCGAGATCCAAAAGTTTAACATATCTACTTAAATAAAAGGCGACGCCTCGCTGATTTCGTTAGATTTGGACTGGACATCGTTCTTTTCCCTTTTGAGGTCCCACCATCAAGGTTATCAAAGCTATCAGATGCCTCTTCCTGTTTTGAATGATTTTGCGTTTTCACTGAGCGGTAGAACTTTGTAATGCTTAGTTGAGTGCTTCTTGTGTTCAATGGTGATGAATTCTCATTCTCTAGAGATTGCGGGGTAGAAGCTTTTCTTATTTTCAATCCCTTCAATTCCTGCATTTTTCAAGAGCAAATTAGGACTCAAACTTCCAATAACACGAGTTAAAAACATAAACCAGGTGATGGAGATTGGAAGAAAAATTGAATTTAATTGTCTTGTGAAAATTTAAGTAGGATGTTAATTTAGTTTGAAGTTGAATTAGTATTTAAGTGTATTATCCTATCTTATCTAGGATTATATTTCTTTTGAAATTTTAGGATTCAGTTTATTTAAACTTGAACGAAGTTCAAACATTTCGGTCTCTCCCCCTCGATTTAATTTCTCCTTGCTTTCTCCCTATCTCTTTCTATCCCTCCTTCCATCTCTTTCTCCCTACCCTCAACTTAGAATAAGGTTCTTCATGCTCCTCGCATGCTCCTGTCACCAGAAATTCACCCTATTTCATGCAATTTCTTCCATCATGGCCCATTCCAGTTGCTTCAAATGTGGCTCTTCAAAATCAAGGGCAACCTACACGAAGCAAACCAAGGTAGCAAGTCGATTGGAGTAGATCATAACTCACTCATGCTCTTGTGGCATCAGGTTGATGTGTACCAAACTAGAGTCAGGAAAACAAGCACAGGCCCGGCAGACCAACCCATTTACCTTCCAATTTTAGTAGGCTAAGCTAGCAAAATGAGCCTGTTTTCAGACATGGGTTGGATTAGCCTGCCTTGTGAAAAGGGCGAGCTATACAAGGCTAGCATACGAGTTATGCAAACTGGCCCCTCTTTTATTTAGTTATTTCTATCCTAATAATACTATTGGCAATCGCTGTAAAATCCCCAAGTCCTGAACTCCTAATTGACTAATCTCCCATCACCTCCATCCAATACTCCATTCCACTCTCCAGATCCACATTGCGCATCAAGCTGCTAGAAGATGATGAAGATTCGTCCCGTCTCCATCGTCCCAATCGAACAAGTTCGAGGTGTATCATCTCATATCTATTCACTCCTTCCATTCCCTCTCAAGTCTCAAATCTATCGACATTCCCTCTCCAATACAGCCCACTCCCTCTCCCTCTGTGTGCCACTCCAAAGATGAAGATGAAGAAGAGCCAATTGTGTGACAGTGTGTGCTCTCCTCCACCAAAAGCTCAACACTACAGCAACTTCACCGGAAGCCAAAATGATAAGCAAGTGAATCAGCCCAAAGAAAATATATTCGCTAGAATATGATCTAAGTAGAGGATGGGTGTAATACACCAACAGCTTTATTCCACTAGGTAGAAAAGATGAGTATAATAAGCAAAAGAAATCACAAACAACATGTAACCCTCACATCTAGCTTTTAAGAGGCTAGAGTCTCTTCCACAACACTTACTACCTCTCACTAGCCTCTCACCCCTCTTATATTCCTTGTCAATCTATATCTTCTCTCTCTTGCACTCTCACACCTTACAACCCATGAATTAGTCTGGGGCCAATAATCATGGGCCCACCAACATCCTATCCTGGTCCCTATTAGTTCCCATAACTACGTCTATTCAACACTTGATTATGAACTATTTGCAAAATAAAGCCATAATTCTTTTGCCAACGAATTTTTTGACTCTTAACAGTTCAATGCCAAATTTAATTAAACTAATACACAATAAAAAGGTTGACGTCCTAAATTTATAATACTAGTAATTCAATTTCCAACTCCCACAATCAACTAAAATAATGTCACATAGGGCAGATGATTGAAAAGTCAAAAAGGATTTTTTAAAGGGGGCTTGAAAAGGTAAAAAGTAAGCGCACCTGTTCTTGCCAAAACCCTTCAACTTTTGCTGGAAATGCAGCCCTCACAAGATCCATATTTTCATCTGTCAATAGGAAGCTACAACCATCACTCATATCAGAGACACTAGAATCATCTAGTAGATCCACAAAATCATCAATCTCACTACCATCTGCTTGTTGCATGCTAGATTCGTGTGATGGAACTGTACAACTAATGTTGCCAACTGCACATTTCCACTTGACAACATAAAATTGATATCCATATCTTATCTTCACACGTTGTATTGAATCAAACTCAAATGTCCCAAATACGAGACTTTCTACAGGAGTATTAGCCATGTCTCTCAAAAAGATGGTAGACATCATAGGAAAAATCTGCTTTCGAATGTAAGCCGGATCCCAATGCTGATGAAAGTTTAAAAAATCTATCAGCATCTCAATCTTTGGTCTACTCCATGAGATGCAAGGACCATCACTTGCTACAACAATTGAAGGACAAAATATAGAATGAATGGCAACTATAATAACAAGTTTCCATAATTACAGACATATTAGCAAAACTTGAAGAAAATCAACATAAATAGGATATACACCCAAATCCTGAGCACATATCATAAAAACCTCACTAAGGGCAATTGTAATTTAATGCCAGTGACAAAATTCATCTTGCCAATTACAGCTAGAGAGAGAATTCAACATACCAGAGTGGCAACCATTGTCATTGCAGAAGTACATTTCAATGATTTCATCTCTGGGAAACTTGGGCTCCTTTGCAATCTTGAGACAAATTTTTGTGTGCCAATTTTCCATCCTTCTCTGTGCCTTTCGTTTCCTAAGCTGCCAATCCAAGGTTGAACTTAAAAACCACCCTAGTAAAACTAAAATGGCTGAGAGAGCATACCATATCACAGGAAGGGCAACCGCAAGTAAAACCCTCTGGTTTTCTCAAGCAACCTTCATTATCATTTGCACTGCAAAATTCACAAGGAGATTTCATATGATCTCTTTTGCTGCCTGGATGCCCACAAAAGGAACAGTGAAGCTGTTTATGGCTTGGAAAGTTCCCATCCATGTCAACACAATCTTCAGCAGATTTAATGCCGGTGGGAGAAACTTTCCCATTGCCAATCTCTTGCAATCTGCAAAAAGACATTCTCAATCCAAACTAATTAATTTTCACTTTATACTAATCATTTCATGATCAAAAATAAAAAGTACGATATAATCATGAATTTACACCTATTCAATACATCTGCTTCACTAAAACAACTAACAAAACGAAGAGCCGTATCAAGCCCAATCCCTTGAACACCTGTTAAATCATGATCATTTCCAACAAGAAGAGAAATAGCTATGAGGTGTTTCCTCTTCAACCCAAGACCAGATTCAATATCTTCCATATTGTAGCATTCAAACGCTTCCTGCAGACAATAAAAGTCTTAAACTAAACAAAAAGCCAAAAGAAATCCATAAAAAAAAATTTAAAAAAATAAAAAAGAGTCCAGAAGATTGCAGGAAGAAAGAGCACTCAAGTAATCCCATCCGGCATGGAAAATGCATCTCTCTATTTTTAAAGGTTGATAAAGAGAAATTTTCAGACAAAGTTGGAATTTCCATGTCAGAGATTCTGCTTATATGTTGCTATGTTTTGGGAGTTATGGAACTAAAATATATGTATGTTGGAAAGAATTATTTGACCAAAAAGACAGTTTGTGGTTAAACCTGCATAATCATCTCAGTCCTCCTTCCTCATCTCATGCACTCTATCTTAAAAGGAGTAAATATTAACTTTTAATTACTACCATAAAGACATAACAAGGAAACCCTTTGTGACAGACTGACAATGCAAGAATAAAGAGGGGCTAGACTAAGGTAATTATATTAGATTTAGCTTTGAACTTTCTTTTGTCATATAAATGAAATTAGCATATTTACAACTCAATTTAATCAGTCAGGCAAATTTGAATTATTATAAATTTTGACAATAATCAGAAGACATGAGAAAAATTAAGGAAAAAGAAGGAAGATGGCAGCCGGCACTGTATTTACAAGGCCACTTACTTTAGCATTAGAGCAGAAGCTTTTATGACACATTTCGCACCGAATAGGAATGCATCACTGTCAGATGTAATGCAAGCATCCACATAACCTTCACTATTTAATTGGGCACAGAGTGCTTCTGCCTCTCCTTTAGCATATAGTACAGGCATTCCGAGTAGCTCAACAAGTTCCTAACACCAAACAATTATAACTATATAGAAAAGATTAAAAAAGAACAAACAAGTATAAATTAATAAAAAAGAACTCCAACCACTTATAGTAAGTAAAGAAATGTTATTGACATAAGATACAGAAGAAATTAATGGAAACAATGCAGGATCAATCAGTTGAAGTTTAGGGTTGAATTCAAAGGTTGGTGAATGCAACATCTCGCTCACTTGAAGTGTACACATCTCATTTATTCAAGCTAAACTGGATGAATCTGAATACAAAAGGTAGTCCTTCAGAAGGATGATCACTCCTAAACAAAAGAACTGCCAAGACTCCTAAATAATAAAATTCTCCTAAACCAAATCCTCTCTTAATTTGCAAGACTTATCCTTGAATGTTTTCTCAATAAAGTGCAGCCATGTAAAAGCACCCAGAAAAAGGACTTCAAAATGAATAATAATTCTACATAACACTAAATTAACTTGATTTTTCTTCAGTCGCTGAAATGATGCGCCCATAATAACTCAATAAATATCCAATATATTTATATTAACATCAGAAATGTTTCCCTCTTAATAATGGAAAAAAAAAAGTTTCAAAAAATAATCTGAACAGATCCAAAGTCATTATTAATACGGGAAAAAAAAAACATGAAGCTTACATATCCAACACGCTAATTGAGATCGATAGTGTTTTGGGATAGACCATGAATCCAAGACCTTTTTTTCTTTTTAACAAATAGACCATGAATCCATCGTGTATTTAAGGATGAAATGACGATTTGATCACAATAGCAGATAATGCCAAAAAAAAAAAAGGAGGATCTGCAGAACAATTGCAAACTGACGACAGGGATCAAGGTTAATCAATCGACGCACCACACATTCTTTAACACGTCTTGAAAATTCACGGTTCCTCTCAACGGGAACACTTTCTTCACCCACCGGAAAATCTGTTAGTTCAATGCCAGAAAAACGGAAAAATCTTGAAATCCTAGCTTGCGATTTCAACGGCGATGGGGTCCCATCTACCACGAAGACTGGATATGCTCCAAACTGCAAAATTCACAAAACCACCATCAATCTATCCCAAATAAAACTTACTTCTCTGCCTCTCCTTGCCAATGAAGCAAACGAGACAAAAGAACACTAATTTATGTCCACCTCATCATAATGACACCCTTGCTAGCTACTCTTTCACTGGACAAGAACTCATTTAAACCAAAACGACAACAAAAGAAGAGGAGGAGGAGGAAGAAGAAGACATCGCTTTCAAACACTTTTCCTTAACCCCTGTTTTGGTTGGAGTTTCCCTCCCCTGCAAATTTTTCCCCTCCAAAACCTCCCCCAAAGTGGGGGGATTCTTCCCCTCCCCCTTCCCGTCCCCTCCCGTCTAACCAAACATAGCACAAAAGTAACAACCAAACGGGTCGGAGTGAGAATGGAAAAATGTAAGACTAAGACATCATATGCACCTTGGAGAAGAGATTGATAGTGCGAAAGAAGGTGAGTCGCAGATGGGGTTTCCGAGCATGGGCCTTGATAGCAGTCTGATGCTGGATGATCCAGAAGGAGAGGTCCACGGCGACTCGCTTGTCCCTTAAGAAATCCAAACCTTCGTCTCGTGCGTATGGCTTTAGCAAATCCCAGAAATTTCCCCCCACCCCCATTAATTTCCCTCAGTTGCAAAATGGTTCTGAGTGAAAATCCATTGACAAAGAAAAAGAACAGTGTGAAAGACGGAAGCTTTCTGCAACTGTGAAGTCTGAACCCCGTGTTAGGTTTCCTCGTGGGAGTGAAGTGCGTGGCTTTCCTCGTTTGATGTCACCTGATTGTTTTGGCCACGCAGGCTTCTAGCCGTTGCAGTTTTTGTTTTGTTTTTTTTTTTTTTTCTGGGGTTAACGGAGCCGAAGCATCCAAAAGTCCTGAATGTTTGAGCCGAAATGCAAAATACTGCTGTTACAGCTCAAGCCCATCAATGTAATCGGGCTCTGCCTAAGTGGTTACATCTAAAATAATCAGTTAAATCATCAATATGACACTGTTACATTGCCCTGGATGCTGGATTCGTGCTTGTTCTAATCGCCAACCCAGAAAATTCAAAATTGTGTTTGTTGAGGCAAAATCTGTGCATGATTTTCCAGAAAACACATAATTATAAAATAGACAACTATTTCTATGAAAGGTCATGCAATAAGCACTAACCTGTATGGTAGTGAAAATCTGAATGGGAATAAATGGAATTATTTATGGGGGCAACTCTGCCTTCAAGTGATCACAATTAACATAGATCCGTCCAAAGCTTGTTTGTATTTTCCTTTATTCAATCCATAAGTTCACATAAACAAGGTTGGCATCTCTGAGCAGATGAGTGTTAGGGGTTGAAACTAATGAGTTGACAGTGATATTGGTTCGGGGCCATGCATGCTGCCTGACTAGATTATAGTCCACCCTAGCCCCTCCACTTTTTCCCCCCATTTTTCATTCTTTGTTAATATTAATTATTTTATTATAGAAATTTTTTAATATTTCTCATGTAATATGCTGATTCTATAATTATCATGGAGATTTTTCCATGATTTTAATTTTTAAATTCAATTGTATTCTCAAATTGTTTTTGTTAATTTAATATTATGCAAAAGTAATGAATCATTGTTATATACAGTATATCATACAATTTTAAAAATGCTTCCATGTTTTTTTTTGCCACAAAAAAGGTTGAAGTAGGGGTGAAAGTAAGTCAAGTCACTATTAGAGGCCTACAAGTAAGGCTGTTTTAAAAAATTTTGATGCCTAAGATAAAATGAGTAAAGGAGCATAAAATATAATAATTTAACGATCCTTATATTACTTTTCTAACTTTTTGAGCTACAAAATTAGATAACAGAATTTTGTAATTAAGTAATTCTAACATTTCACTCTTAATAACTAGATTCATACTTTCTATTTGACATTTTTTTACCTCTAAAAATAATAATAAAATTAAACACTCAGTATTTTGTATTTTGAAAAATAAAGCTTGGAATAAAATGGAACAAACACACCTTACAATACAAAGACAAAAACACAAAGTCCCTATTTAATGGTGTCGCACCCGGAAAAATGCGACGCGGACGGCGCGCGAGCGGAGGTCCTGGCCTTCGCGGCAGGAACCGGATCGAACGAGGAGTCGCCACCAAGATTTTGAGGTAAATCTCGGGAAACCGATTAATGGAAGATATGGGTGATCTGCGAAATCAAAGAATAGGTTCGGGAGTCGGTTGAGTGTGGGGAAGGTATTAGGCACCCCACAACACCCGTTCGCGAGAACGGTTACCTGAAGTTTGTTGTGCTCTATTAATATGGTTTTAAAATTATTTTAATTATCCCTTTTATATTCATGTGTTTGATATAAAAATGATGATAATTGAGTGAGAACTGTTTATTTATTTACGAGAAAGGACGGACTTGACTCAGAATCTGACTCTGAGGCCTACGTACCCTGTGATGGGGATCAAAGTCCACGTAGTTCGAGCTTAAAAGTTTATTGGTGAAAATATTTTTTTGAAGAGAAATTAATTAGAAATAATTCACTATTTTGCAAATAAAACAATTTCTGAAATTTTGATATGTGTGTTTTAAATTACAAAAGGCAATTTAATTTTAATTATTTTCTCCATTTTTGAATTTTTGGAATAAGAAAGAAAAGGGTTTAAAATCATTATTTATTATTTTTTTATGTTTTATGGTTGAGAATTTTAATTGCTATACCTGCAGAGCCTTATTAGTTCATACGGTAATGCAATTATTCTAAGTATCTACGGAGATTCCGAAACCTCACACGATAAAAGAATTTAGTAATTTAATTTATTTATTCTTAAGTGTTAATAATAGTTTGCTTAAGTATGTATATATGTTTTTAAAGAATTTTAATCATCATACCTGTATAGCCTTATTGGCTTATACGGTAATATGATTTATCCTAAATATCTGTAGAGATTCTAAAATCTCACATGATAAAGGAATTAAATTTAATTAATTGATTTAATTAATTATATAATATATATGTATATATATATTTTAAAAACTAAATCGTTATATCTGCAGAGTCTTATTGACTCATACGATAATACGATGATCTTAGAAGCCTACGGAGATTCAAAAATCTCACATGACTAAAAGATATAATCGGTAAATATGGTTACAATTTAAATACATTTAATTTGGTTAATTAAGTTTCTTAAATTGTATATTATATGATTATTTGCAAAAATCACTTATTTATTATAAAAATTGAAAATCACTATATCTACGAGGACTTACTGTCCCACACGATAATGTGATTAATTTAAGTTCCTATGAAGATTCTTAAAATCTCACATGGAACTTAAATATTTAGTATAAAGAGAGAGTTAATTTCAATAATGGGCCTTTAGAACCCGTATAAGTACCTACAAAATTGATCCTCGTACTTGCAAAATCTTATTGATCTTTATGGTATGAGATCATTTTAAATGCCTGCAAAAATTCTCAAAATCTCCTACTTCAAGTTTTAAAAAGAATATATATGTGCTTAGCATATGAGCATAAAAAAAAAATACGTATATTCGAGAATTATTCATCTGGATATAAAATTCATGGAAGCAATTAATAAGGAGTGAACTAACTTTACACACGCTCCCGCGATGCTCGTAACTGAGAAAGGAAGAGGAGATGAAGACTGAGCACATGCACGCACACCATCGTCGGCCACAGAGTGATTCAGAAGGTGAAGAAGAAGAGGTAAAGTTCAGTCTCCTTTCCAAACCTTCAGATGCACCAAGCCGAGAAGAAGGCTAGAGTTCTGTTGCAGCAAATGGAAATGAGCAACTTCAACTGACTATTCTTGTTCTTCGTCCTTCCTCTTTGCTTCACTTCCTCTATCCTATTCGTTCCTCATTCTTATTTCAGCAAATGGTTTAATCTCTCACTGTCACTCGCTCTCAGTTTTCCCTTTTGAGAATCAAATAACTTCAAGCTCTTGGCCTTTTTTAAAGAATCAAATTTTCACTCACTCCCTTTTCTAGAAAGCTCTCCTCTCGGTCTCTTCTCGGCTGCCTCCGTTTCTCCTCTCTCCGTCCCTTAGTCTCTGTTTTTCATTCAGTTTTTGGTCTTTTTTTTCCTCTCCTAGTATGAACATCCTTTTATACTCTCAGTCTTTCCCTCTTGGCTTCCTCTCTCTCTCCTTTTCTGCTGCTCTTTCTCTGCTCTGTTTCTCTAGCGTCTTTCCCGTGCATGCGTGGCCGCGTTTTGCTTTTTTTTTCTGCTGTGTGTGCTCGCTGCTCCGTCTCTTTTTGTATTCGTGTGCACTTTTCTATTTTCTTTTTGTGTGCTGTAACATGCATATCCGGTTTTACGTCTCTGGCTCTGTTTTTTCTTTCTGCTGGCAGAAAAGTGTATGTATATGTGTTCTGGTTGCTTGCTACTTTTTTTTCTGTGAAGCTCTTTTCTGCAACCTGTGTTTTCGTGTTTCTGCTTCTTCTATATTTTGCTCGTGTGTGCTTGGTGCTTTCGGCGTCTGTAACTCAGGTTGCTTTATCCTTTTTGTGCTGACTGTGTTCGTGTGTTTCGTGTATGTGCGAGACTGCTCTGTGCTCTCTGCTGTTCTTGCTTTCTTTTTGGTATGTTTATGTCTAACCGAGAGTGGAGAGATTTTGGATTATTATATATATTTTTGTCTTTTTTTTTGAACTAAAAAAATTAAAATCCTAGTCAATAAAAGATTATCTCAAATAAAATTAAATCCTATCAATTAAATTAAATTTTTTTTGAAAATATAATCCTAAAAAAGATTAAATTTTATTTTTATATTTTTATATTTTTTAGTTATTTATTATTATTATTTTATTAAATTTAAAATGTTCGGACAAAATACGGTATTCACAAATGGTATATGCTCTAATGGTTTGGTTAGATACAAAAATATAAAACAAAAAAAATATTGCAGCAAAAACGGTGTTTAATGACCGATGAAATTTCTTTAGGCTTTAGAATAGAAATAAGAAAAGAGGGGAAAATGGAGGAGTGGAGATGGGAAGTGAGAGAGAAATAGAGATTATGATAATTCCAAAATGAGAATTATAAAAAAAATAAATAATAATTAATTGCTACGTTAGAACTAACCCAATAATTAAATATTATTTTAAAAATATGAAAAGGTTTTTAATCTGGAAAATAGTTGGGGCTTTGCTTTTTATATTTGGGATTTATTACATAAGAGTTCAATTACATTTATTTAATCTATATATATTAGGAGTATTTAAGGCTTTTTTTAGGGGTCCTAAGCAATTGTCTTACTTGCCTATGAGCTGCCATGACCCTACCTATAAGTTAACTTATTTTAAATTAAGTTAAGCATATTTATTAAATGCATCATTGTTAAGTTTAGATTTTTAATTAGAACTATTTAGATAAATAAGCCAAACTTATTTTTATAATGTCTAACTTATGAGCCTCGTAGGCCAATCTATTTATTTATATATATATATATATATATTATTATATAATATATTATGTATATATAATATGTAATATATAGCATTTAATTTAAAAATTTTGATATAATCAATTTCACCTCCTTTCTTCAGCCCCTTCTAATTTTTTTTTGTATATCAGAATTTGAAAATACTAAACGATTCTTCCTTACCCATGTTCTTTCTTATTATGTCTTGTTTGATGAATTTATGATATACTAGTTTTATCATTTAATTTTTAATTCATATATTATTTTTATTTCTATTTTTTAATTATGTTTTTAATTAAATTGGACTTATACATGTATTGGTTACAATTTTGTTACCATATTGTAGTTGATAAGTTTTTTTTTTTTTTGCTTATTTTGTATTTTAGTTGGTAGGTTAGGATGTATATATATAACTTTTAATAATCCTACAACTTATACTAGATTTTTAAAGCTTATGATGTAAGCCTATTTAAAAAGTGTAATTTTAAGTAAACTTTTAAACAAGTTTTTAAGTTAAGTTAAATTTTACGTAGACTTAAACTTAAGTCACAAAAATAATTTTACATAGAATTTAGGTCAAATTTAAGCTTTAGATTTACCATATAAATTTAGAATTATTTAACCAAAACCTAACTCGATCTAATTTATTTTTACCATCAATTTCAAGTTAACCAAAGATAAAAACATTTTTCAAATGAAAAATTGCTCTTTTCATTTCATTTTCGCCATCCAGTTTCATCACGTTAGTTGACGAGTTATCGATGGTCTTAAATTATATTTAATTATAGAGAATGAGAATGGAGAAGATTTTTATAAGCTCTCTAGAATGCATGCACTCTTATGCATTAAAAAAAGGATGATTTTAATGCCAATGCTTTAATTTAATAGCACGAGACTAAAATTCTTACCCACTATTTTAATCTTTTAAAATGTTAGAGGTAAAATGTATTTTATGAGTTTAAGAAATTTTCTTACCCAATATGTTAATATTTTGAAAAGAGTTTTTTTTCTTAAACTCATGCTCGCGATATATTTGTACAATATTTGTATATCTTCAATATTTTTAATTTGGGTTAATTTAAAAAAAAACATGTGCACTGCACGCCAAAAGATATTTGGTTTCATAATAAAATATGTTCAAATATATTTTTAATCCTCTAATTTTATATAAAATTTTAACTTGATCCTTAATTTTGTAAAATATCTTTTTCGTCATTTAATCATAATATCATTAGTTTTAAATGATTATTTTTTATGTTAATTATTGTTATTTCGAAAAAAATTAAACTTAATATTTTAACATTTGAGAATGTTTTATCAATATTTAAAAGTTCAAAGTAAAAATTTGTTGAAGTAAAAATAACAACATTAAAGTTAAAAACCAAAAAAAAACTTTATAAAGTTAAGAGACTAAAATAAAATATTGTGTAAAGTTAAAGAATTAAATATATACTTTAACCTAATAAAATATAATAAAAAATTTCTATTCAATGGCATTAATATTTTTGTTTGGTTGAGGTATTTCCATAACCGACGGTTATAAAACTAACCTTTCAAGTAATTAGAGGATCATGTAAAAAGTTGTCTTCTTCCAAACACTGCTTGCCATATAAATCCCTAAGAATTGAATTATATAATGATATTTAAGAGGCTCAAACACTACGACAACATCCAAGACCTATGGCATTGATACAAAGTGGTACATAGTATGCTACTCTAACCTCATTAATCACATCATATCGTGCCCATAACAAATTTTCTCTGATATACTCCACAAATAATATGCACAACATCTCATGCTATTTATTTTCAAGAATAGATACACATACACGCACACTTACTCAAGTCTCAAACATACATGTATAGACATACATTTTATTCTCATAATTCAAGCATTTTTCACCTATTGCATGACTTGCCAAAATTTGCATCAATGAATTTACAAGCACCTAATAAGTTCTTAATGATTTATTTTAATAATTAATTAATTAACAAGTAATTATATAAGCTAAATTTTTATCAATTACCGCAAATCTTTGAGAGGTTAAAAATTTGTCTCTCAAAACACAACTTTCAAAACTCTTCTCAGCTTAAATGGTGTCAAATATATTAATTTACAATTCAACCACAAAATAAATATTAATATCTTCATTTGAATACTTTATAACACTTTATCTCATTCTTTTCCACTTGCATAAAAATATAATCTCCTATTTCTTATCATACCATGAGATTTATTAGGTTTTTATAACCCACATTGTCATTAATGAACCTTTAAATCACAATTAATGGCCATTAGACATTTTCAACTACCTTCATAAATGCAATTTTTAAATATTAATGGCCCTTACTAGCTAAGGACTTACAAAACCATTAATACTAAATTTAAATAATCTAAACAACTCTTATTAACTCTACTTTAACTAATGTTCTAGACCTATAATTTATATGAATCAAAAATTATTATTCTAATTGAAACTTTTACTTAACTGTTCAAGAAAATGGAAGAAAAAAAGAGGAGAAAGATTAATACACTTATCTTTGGTGTTCTCTAGCTCCAATAAACTCTTAAATCTCCAATTAAGCAAGCTCTAATAGAGGAATTGGATGCAAACTTATTTCTATAATTTTTTGATCATGCACTACAGCACATGTAACATATGCCATGGAGCATGACACAGAGATATCCTCCTTTGTTGTTTGTTATTTGTGTTCCGTAGTGGACATGTTACACACCATGACATATGACATAACGATTTTTTCAACTTTTCTTATTTTTTGATGTCTAGATCATCTAACTTCATTTTGAACATGAATTTAGAGCTGAAAACATAACCTACCACACTAATTAAACCTCTTTAACTACATACCTCATTAATTAACTCAATTATTTTATTTTACTTTACTTAATTGGATTATAAGTTTTTAAGATGTTACAACTTGTAAATCAATAAACTTGCATTGATAAATATTAAAACTTTAAATTGTAAATTTGTGAATTTAGAGTTTGTATTGGATTTAGAGTTTTTTTTTGGTTTTGTCATTTCGCTAACTTTAATAAGGTTGACCTAAAAAAAGAAAACTTTAGCTAATAAAAGAATAAAAGCATCAAACTTACTCTTTTTTTTTTTAAAAAAAAATATACGTACCTGTTTACTGTAATTTCTCACATAATTTATTGGAATTGGATTACTAATTAATAGTAACTCTTAACAAAAATGGAGCTACTACATTAAGCTTCAAAAATAAAAGCGAATGCATACGTGGCAATATAAATATTCTTTTTGATCACTTTTCCTGTGTTCACAAAACCCAGCAATTACAAAAATATGGAATGACATTTAGCCGTTAATGGACAAAATTTCTCTCAGCTAGAACTAGTATATATCATGAAAGTTATAAAAAGAACAAATCACTCAATAACAACATCATCATCTCCTTCAGTGTCCTCGTCACTGTCAAATGCATCACCGGATTGTTCTTCATCTCGAGTATTTTGGTCAGTATCCATTGCGTCATCAGATTCTTCATCACTATGCTGGTCCTCGTAGATAAATGGCACTGTTTGTTCTCCTTCATCTGCCTCCTCATCAATATCCTGCAATAAAAAAACCATGAATAAGTTCAATCTATCCTTGTGTTCTGCTAACCATGTACTTCCTCCGATTCTATATATAAAAGAAACTTCCACTTGCTTTGTTTTCATTTATAAATAAAACCATATATCTTAATAAATATTTATTACAATTTTCCTAAACTATCCTTTATAAACTCATAATTTTCATTCATAAGAAACAATTAATGCAGTCTTGTTTTAATAAAATGCAAGGGTATTTTAGTCTAATTTTTTACTTTCAGAGACAATGATTATAGTTCACCAATTTTCTTGAACTAAGTAATACAGTTATTTTCTCTTACATATAAAAACGGAGGAAGTATGTAAAAGTTAAAGAAACTTACTCTAGCGAAAAGGAGGTCTATGGTGCTTGACAATTCAATGGCGGAATTGAAAGTGGAGACCCTAGAACCAATCAGCTGTAAAAGACAACAGATTCAATTGAAGAAGCTAGTATCATGAACAACTACTCAAGAGTTGACAAAAGCAGTCCAATAAAATTTCAGAATGTGTTTTCAATCAGCGGCTATGTCGTCTTGCACAATGAGAAATCTATAATGAGTCATTATCTAACAGTCCACCTGATCCAAAGAATTCAAAGACTGGAATGAAGATTCCTGGGATATTATTACGGTCGCATGTTCTAGAAGCAGACATTTCAACCACCGTTCAGCACACGCCAAAATTGCACCCCTATGAAAGAGAAAAAGAAAGGGTATCATGTATATTAGTACTAGAAATTGAATGTACAAAGATATGGAAATACTGAACAAATAAGGTACAATTACTATAATGATGTTTTTACCTAGACTCAACAATGGATACAAGGAAGTTTGAAAATTTAAGAACATCGGATATCTTCAATTGTGAAATTGACTTCTGGATAACCTGCAAAAAGGGATACATCATGCATATCATACAAGAGCCTGATGATGAAAATAATTTACCATTCCAAGACAAGATGATTTGGTAGAAAAAGAACAAAAAATATAAACCTTCTCATCTTGTGTATACAAGCAGTCTAGTATCAGGGCACGATCATCAGCATGCAATGCTTGCTTGAGCAAAACATCTACTGAGTTTGCACTTGGAGGCATTGTTAGCGCTGAAGATTCTAGTTCCTTGCCACTCTTGGATTTGTCATTTTCACCTTGCAAAGTGAGACTAGCAAGTTTTTCTCCCATCGTTGGCTCATGCACGTCAAAATCAAGGACTCCATCTGCAACCTCACTTTGATCTACATCTGGTACCAGTATAGGAAGAAATATGGCATATTTAGCATCCTCACTTTGATCCGAGGATGAATTTTAAGGAAACAAAAAGGTACTCCAATGATTTCACCCCAAAAAAAAAAAAAAACCATATTTTAAGATCCAGCATCCTTAAACCTGTTAGCTTTCAGATTTTGACATCCTGTATTAAGTATAGAAGTTTGTCATACAAAATCATATATGCAAAGAATATAACACATTATAGGTATTTACAAGGTTCAAAGGAAAACATATATGCAGACGCAAACTTTAATTAACATTTCCATGGTATTACAAAAGCAGAAATCGGAATTTTCATGACAGATCACTTGTTAAAGAGAGAAAAGGTTAATGAAATAAATGGTTCAGATCAATTATTAAGAGAAAATGACATAATCAACGGACGTGAGACCTAAGAAAAGGGTATTTATGCTTACTAACATCCATCATTCAATGAACAGTTAAACATTCCATAATTCTTACCAAAATTCACCTCCTCCGTTATGGTTGGAAGATCAGGATCAAGTTCAGCAGCTTGCCTTTTCTTAGCTTTTTTGCTCTCTGCAGGTAACGCTGCTTCCGGTTCCAAGTCAGAGGATGTAGGTTGCGGATTAAAACATTTATAGAGAATGTAAAGGAAAAGGTTTAGAACCCCCCCCCCAAAAAAAAAAAGATAATGAAACATTTTGTCACATGCAACTTCCAAGTGATCATGGGCTTCAAAGTAATCTATCACATACAATGTCCCCTTAGAGTAGGAAAAGTATTTGAGATTTGACAATTATTACAACAGAACGTAATGGAAATCCATAAATATAGTCAACCAATATGCATAAGGGCATGCGTAAGAACCAAGAACTAGAAACATGAAGAGTATATGATACCTTTCCTATCAGATTGCACATGTTCATTAGCTGGTTCAACTTCATCTGCTACGCGATGAGATTTCTTCAGTTTGTCCTTTGCCATCTCAGTCAATCTTCTGGCAAGTTACGTATGCAACTTTGGAGTATCCCAAAACGATTTGACTGCAACAACACCTACTTCAATCACGAAGCAATCAATGGGATGAGACGAATTAAAAGACAGAAAAACGGAAGAATGGAGAGTGATCTTAGGGTAACAATAACAAACATAAGAAATTAATCGAATGGACATGATTTATGCGGCATCTTTGAGCTCTCCGATCCAAAGTTGCTGTAAATGCAAATGACTAGGTAGAAATTTTTACTGGGCACAAGTAGGCATTTTTCCCTTCGGATTTTTAAGGAATTCAAGAGCACGCACATTTCCTAATTAAGTATTGAGCTCTTTCTACTAAGCATTGACCCATAAGCATAGTTACAGAGAGGAAGAGGCCATGCAAATGACTAAGTGATCAAACTGCAACTAAGGATATATTTTTTGGTAACAACTGAGGATAATTTAAACTACAGAACTAATCTAATCAAAAGCTACAAAGGAAGATGGGTTAGTTGTTTTCTACAATTCTTATGTGATTGATGCTCTGCCATATCATCAACTTCTCAACATCAAATCTTCATCTACAAGCTCATGTATCTACAAGCTCAGACTCAGATGCTTTACTCATCTCCAGAAAATTCATATAAAAGAGAAAAATAAGGATCTGGACGAACCTAGGATGAACCGTAAGGAGCATCAAACATGAAAGGAAAATATGACAGTCAATAACATTACCTCACAGCGAAGACTAGCACGGGACAAAGAAACGACGCCGGTTAGGACAGTTTGACGTTGTCGATGTGGGCGACGGAGTTCAGGAATGGAGGAAGAGAGCGTGCCGAAGACGAGACTGGCGAAGAACGACTGGGCTTTTACTTTTTAACATTCGAGAGGACGAGGGTTTTGGGAGTTTTAGAGTTTGTTTGGGTCTTTTTAGCATTTGAAAAGTATTTTTCTCACGTTTAAAACGTGAGATATTGTTTGTAAAAGAAAAAACTTACCGGTCGTATTTTATTATAAATTTTTATATTTTTTTCATTTTTTAAATTTTTAAATTTTTATTTTACTATATTTTAGATTCTTAAATAAATAAAAAAAATATAAAGACTTTGAATAAACAAAAAATATTAAAAAATAAAAATTTAAAAATTTAAAATAAAAAAAAATTAAGAATTTATAATAAAATATAATCAAATTATGAGGATTAAAAATATGTTTTTTTAATAAAAGATGAAGAGATAAAGGTGCATTTTAAAAATATTTTAAAAATTTTATTAAAAATGATATTGATAAATGTATGACGATAAATCTTTTAAAAGTGGAATATAACTTGATCATAATATCTTAATTATAATTTATTATTATTTAATTAAAATAAAAAATATTATTAATTCATTAAAAATATAATAATTATTTAAATTTAAATAATAATCTTTAAAGTTAAAGTTTTAGCATTGTATATTAAATAATTAATTTTATTAATTTTTAGTATCGATATTTGTCCAACTATTTACTTTATCTGTTAAAAAATATAAAGTATTTTTAACATAATCTCATCCCAATAAAATATTTATTTACTTTTTAATTAATTATATTTTTTTTATATTTATCCTTATTAAATACCTTATAATAAATATAAAGTCATTATCAATAGGAGCGCATTTGAAAAAAAAAACAATAATTATACCTTAAAAAATTAAAAATACCTTACATTTTTAAACATTCAACTCTTCAAAAAATGTCTTATATTTTTGAATAAAGGGAGTATAAAATTTTTGTCCAATAAATTAAATTTTATGTTTTATACTTTTATTATTTAATATATTAAAATTTGTATCAACCAACAAATATTTATCAAGTTGATTAAATTTTTTTTGAATAAAAAATGTATCATATATATTTTTTAAATCATATTAATTTTCAATATTAATGTATGTTAAATTATTTATTATATTATTTTTTTTCAACATATCAAACTTTATATTTTTTATTTTTATTATTTAATATATTAAATTTTATATTATTTCAAATTTTTTCATATTTTTTAAACTTTTATAATATATTATAATTATATCAAAAATTATAAATTATCATAAATCTATATTTTTTTATATTATATATTTAAAAAAATATTTTAAATTATAAATCATCAATAATTCAAATAATTTTTATTAAATTAATTTTTAAATAAATATATTTAAATATAAATTTTATTATAACAACTAATTTTTATTAATAAAATTTTAATACTTGAATTTTTAATAAATTAAAAATTAAGTACATATTTAAAATATTTTTCTTTGGTTGAGTTTTATTTTTTTTGACCGGGCTTTTACTTTTTTTTCCATTTTACGGAAGGTTTTTTTTTTCTTTTTTAATGTATATCCATTTTTATTTTGCCCAAGTATTTTTTTTTAATGTACTTATATATTATTGGCAACATTTTATTTAGGTCCCACATAAACAAAATTTTCATCAAAAAATCTCATAAAATTCACAAAATATTATCAAATCTCAAAATTTATATATTTATAACTTAATTAAAGATATTGATAAATAGGCACCGATCATTATTGTAAATTGTTGTTGTCCAATTATAAATGCCCCCAGTGAATTTGTAAATGCATAAGATTTGAGAGTATTTTATAAATTTTATGAGATTTTGGTAATAAACTTTCTTATATAAGACTTAGATATAATTTTTCCTATATTATATTGTTGGTAAAAAAAAAACTTAGTGGGAAAATTAATTTTTAATCTTTCAACTTTTAATTTATTTGCAACTTAATTCCTCAGTTATGATTCGCTGTAATTTAATCTTTCAACTATAATTTCTTGCAACTTAATCTCTTAATTTTTAATTTACTTATAATTCAATCTTTTTTTTTAATTTTTTTAAAAATTATCTTTATCAAATAAAATGATAAAAGAAATGATCATATTTTGCTCTAAAATACCCTCATCTTATTTTTTGATATAGAATCTAAGGTAATATAAAAAAAAATAACAAAAATTAAAGGACTAAATCATAAACCAATGAAAAGTTAAAGGATTGAATCATAATAAATTATAATTAAAAAATTAAATTATAAGTAAATTGAAAATTAAAAGATTAATTTTTTCAAACTTATATATTATATATTGTGTAAACCCCACACACTAACACACACTCAATTTTATCATCAGCATATATTCGATTACTCGGAGGTGATTTATCCTATCTTAGTAGTTAGTATTTGCATTTTTCTTTTATAATAATAATAATAATAATAATAATAATAATAAGTTATATAAAAAAACCAAATTGTTAAATTTGATCATCGGCGTCGCTGCATTCTCTCACTCCTCTGCGATTAGCGCGCCGTTCTCGACTTCTCGCCATCATTCGCTCGCCGTTCGCTCTTTGTCGGTCAGCGTCTCGACGCTCGTCTCCTGCGCAGATCTGCGGCTTAGGTAAGATACTATCCTTTCTCTCAACACTTCGTATGTCAGACTTCTGTTCTTTAAGATTGAACATTCTGGGTTTTGCTTCTCATCTTTTTCTATGATTCTCTGCGTTTGAGGTGTTTGATTTGATTCCATATTACCCTTGAAAGGATTTAAGTTTGAGGTGTTCTTGCACATCCCTTGCATTTACATTTAGTTTGGCAGAACATGCCAATATATTCCTTTTGTGACTTTGTTGCTATATGTTTTGCTACTCTGTTCTAAATTAGACGAATTTACCTTTCAGTCAAAGATTTAATAATTTAGTGACCCGTTGTTTAGGATTCCATGAGAATTTCATACTGATAATAATCATGCTTCAAGGAGGGAGAGTGACGAGGCTGCTAGGGGTGGAGTTATAAGAGATGCAATTGCTAACCAAATGTGGATAGATTATCAAGATGAACTTCGGAATAGAAGTTCATGTATTCCTCTGAGTTCCGACTGTGTTTTCTTATTTCACTTGTATTCATTTCAGATTGGAATATTATGGCGGGTTCACTGCCGAACATCATCTTGAAGCGATTCACTGCTCGTTCTCTCAGTGGACCGGTAAGACGTTGGAGCATCTCTTTGTTGACACGAACAAGACTAATTTTTGATTCTTGCATCTCTTTTGTTAACTCGTTGTGTGGAATGTATAAAGTTATTTACTTTCTGCAATTTGTGTTGATAGGTGTCGTATGTTTTATTGTTTTGTTTCTATTGCCTTGGATGTCTTCAATCTATCCTTGCCAAAGTATTCAACTGCATTAAGTTAGAATTTTTTCATTGCAATTGAAATGGCGTTGGCATTCCGTACTGCAAATGTGTGCTGCCAATATATGGGAGCCGGCAAATTGCTTTGCTCGGTTCTTATTTGAATCTGTAGTGACTGTGATTCCCTTTTTCGTATTTGATTGAAAGTTTGAAGGGCTGTGACCATACAGTGAGATTGTCTCTCTCTCTAGCTCTGTTTATTATTATTATTATTATTTTGCTAAATTATTATTCCATGTAGAGCTTTTGGAATTGTAGCAAACCATTTCTTAGGTCTTACTCCAGTTTTACTCATCTGAATTTTCCTCAAATTATACAAATATTCTTTTATTTTCAAAATTTAAATGGACCTCTAATTTTTCCTTGGCCCTTGTATTGTTAACTTGTCAGTGAACAGATAGGATCGTTCATTTGTGTTTCCACGTCTACGTCAGCACTTGACTAGGCATTGTGTGTGCTTGATAGTTCCTTATGTTCTATTTGCTTAATCTGGAGTTGATTTCAGAAAGGTGGCCTGTTAATATTAACTCGAGTTGATTTAACATTGCAATATTATGTCCATTAGAGATAGAACTTATAATAATTGTACTTTATCAATGAGTTGCGATCTTCTTTCCAATGATCTTTGCTCTAACATGGTAGCAGGTAGGTGGGTCACTGTACAATTATGGATTGAGATTTTCAACCACTGTGCCAAATGATCCAGACACACATAATGACTTCAAGCCAACTAATAAGCTTGAGAATTCTGGCATTTCGTTGAAAGATGTTGTTGAGCAGGTTAGTGTACATCAAGATAATTTTGTGCATGTTAAATAAGTCAAATGTTTTTCCCCATTTAATCACTCAAGCAATCTGTAACTTCAAACTCTGGTTAACTGTGGCAAATGTGGGCAGGATGTCAAGGACAATCCAGTTATGATTTACATGAAAGGCGTGCCTGAGTTCCCACAGTGCGGATTTAGTTCTCTTGCAGTTAAAGTTTTGCAACAATATGGTGAGTACTAAAATTCCTGTTGTGTCCTTGCTTAAACATGGGCATACTTGTCTGAACTTTTATCACCCAATTTGTCATGGAAGTGTTGTTTTCCCCTGTGATCTAAAAATTGTATGCTTATCTAACTTTTGAAATGTCATGTGGAGACAGGGACATACCCACGTTATTGTTGCCCCCACAAGCCCAGAAAATATTACATAAGATGACCCAGAAAAATTTATTTTCCCCCTTCAAAAAAATTTCATTTGCCGTCTTGCCCCCCATCATTTCCAAAAAAAAAAAAAATTCACTTCCCCCCTTACAAAAATTCACATATCCCATCAAAAAATTTATGACCTAAAAGGCTAAAATATTATCAGTGTGTTACAACCTTCAATAGCAATAGTTTTATAATGGATGGGTAATAATTTATAAAAAAATATTTATAAAAATTTTATGCCAACAAAATTCTCTTCTATAAAAAGAGCTATATGGATTTTATTTAATAAAAATAAAACACATGATACTTATAAACATAAAATTTTTTTTATATAAATAAAGTTTTTTATTTTTTTTAATAATTTCATTTTTTTCGCATTGCTTTTAAGTATTAAATTTTATTATGTTATATCTTTAATATAATTTAATGAATATTAATATATATTTTAAGTAAAAATTATGCCCCATTGATTCATTTTCCTGGGTCTATCACTGTGGAGATCTGGTATGAAATCCTTTGTTTAATAAATCAATGTGGAATGGGTTGCCCCTTCCTTATTGTCAGACATTATTGTCTGTTTATTTATCCTTACCTCTTTTGATGGATTTTTTCTTGCGAAATTCTTAAAAGTACTGCTACTTTGAAGATGTCGTTGTAAAGAGTCTCATGTCAGTAATGTTTATGACTTCTGAATATACTCTGGTTGGTGGATGGATTTTGTTTGGAGTTGCTTGAATTTAACGGTCTTTGAGGTGTATGGACACATGAGAAATTATGGTATGGCAAGCACAAAAAACTTTGAATAGAATACGAGATAGCACTGGTTAGACCTGATACCTGTGAGATACTTGATGTGGGTGTGTCATACAATTGTCAGACAAAGATATGAGATGAGATTTGCATGTGGAGAATATTCAAAAGAAGAATGAATCTTAGATTTATCTTGGTTTTCAATCTATGGCTTAATTATGCAGGATGACACGACTTTAGATTTGTCCTTGCTATTTCGATATATCTGCACCATCAGATTATATGCTCCACCTCTAAATGCATTCTTCTCACTTCTAGTCTTTTTCATGCAAGAAATTTGATAGTAATATGAATTGGTGTTTTTAAGCGGGACGGTTTGGTGAATGGTTTATCCAAAGCATTGGCTGTTAATAGAGCACAATGGTGTAATGGAATTCTGTAGCTGATCACTTAGTGGGTTAAGACTGCTCCTTGTTGTTATATGAATTAGTGTTTACATCATGACAATTCTGGAAATTGCAATTTACACTGTATGATTGACTACTGCAGATGTTCCATTTAGTGCTAGAAACATTTTGGAGGATGCTGAACTGAAAAGTGCTGTAAAAGCTTTCAGGTAGAGACGCTTGTTGGTCTTATAACTGTTTGATTCATAACATTTCTGATGTCACTAATCACAATAAAAATTGTTGCCAATTTACAATTACAATTGTTTACTAAGAATTTGACAAGTGATGGTTTTCCATTATGATGGATTGAGGTTTCATTTCATTTGTGCCCCCCACATTCTGCAGTCAGGATTTAGACAATTGGTTTTAAGCCTCTCATTTTAATTTTAAGCTCAGCATGCCTTTTAAAATTAGAATTATTCCAATACATATATATATATATATATATGTATATATATATTTTCACACACACACACACACTAGTCCTTTGTGATTTTCTGAGGTCATACCCTAAATGTCACAATTCCAGAAGGCAAATACTTATACCACTCTCTTTTCCCTTGTTTCTCTCTGATTCATCTTCCACATGTCACCAAAGCTTCAATCCTCACCCCACAATTGCAGGCAATGGCTAATAGTCAAATAAACAAACATGTCAAAGTTTTAAAATTATCAGTAGATTCTCAAACATGGGAACTCTAGTAGACATGCTTCCGAATCTAATTGCTTTCCCTTTAAATGTTGGTTGATTGGCAACAACTAACAATTTTTTTGTTTGATGTCTAAATGTTCTTCCCCTGTAGTAACTGGCCCACGTTTCCACAAATTTTTATCAACGGAGAGTTTGTAGGTGGATCAGACATTATTCTCAATATGCACCAGGTTAATTCTATCATTTCTGGAGTTGATTTTTTTTTTTTAATTTTCTGCTTTGTCTATTGCTTAACGATATTTTACATCTCATATAGAATGGTGAATTGAAGGATTTGCTTAAAGATATTACGTCCAAGAAGTAAAAGCTCGACTATATGATGAGGTTCAATTTTTTATGAGGGGGTAGGTTGGAAGGACTTGTTTGATGTAATCTATTTCTAATTGAATGGCGTTATTATTTGTACCGGAATCTATGGATAATTATAACTTATTTGTCGAATAAAGAAATTAGGTTCGATTGATACGCTTACATGCTTTGCTTTCTTTTGTATATATGAAGTAAAATGGAAATCGAGACTGAATTTTATAACTCTGACTCGCACTCAAGATTATCTACAGTTACTATTTCAAAGATCAACGTTAAATTAAATTTAAGGAATATATTAGTTTTTAAGAAAACTTGGAAGTTTTTCGAGTTATGCGGAATCTTTAGACCCAAGAAATAATTTCTAGTAGTTTATAAAAAGGAAAAAGAGAAAAAATAATAATAATTGCTAGTCCATGCCTTCTATGAACGGATGTGCAGTTCATCTTCAACCAAGTGTCCAACGTGCATAGAGCACAATCATGAAGCTATGATACTGATTTTCTTATTCTTTGGAAAGGACACTCACAGAAGCACCAAAGAATAAAAATGTGGCTCTTTACTTGCTAAAACGAAAGTGGAATGCTTTTTCATATGGAGTTGAACTACAATTGAAATGTTCATAAACAAGTCTAGTTATTGAAAACCAAATTGGTAATTAATTAGTTAAGGTATTAGTTCTAGGATTAATTATTAAAATAATAGGCCAATTGTGATCATATCAGTCTTGTAAACAAAATATTTTATTAAATTGATAAAAATATTGGTTTAACAATTTATTAGTTCAAGCGAATGAGTTGATTGGGATTTCCAAATCAAGTGTAATCAATCATTTTTAACGTGAGTCCTGTGAAAATGTGTCATCCTATCTCAAATTGGCCATAAATATCAAGCTAGAAAGTCTGTATCATGCTCTCTTCGGTATCTGCCATTTTTCTTTATGACTATGAATTAAAGTAACTTTGGAGATAAAGAAGCCAGCCACCAATTACAACTAAAAATATTTCTAATAATACAACTGTTAGTCTCTAGGTTCTTAATAATATAACGTAACAGAAAAAACATGAAAACACATTCAGAGCATTATTCATCAGGAACATGACCAAAGAGGGGGGAAAAAGACCCGGAAATTAATTCTCCTACACCTTATGTGTACATAATATATATATATATATATATAGATATACCCACCAACCCTTCAATGATCTACCTATACCAAAGCATGCCATTTATGATCATCCTTCAAGCCCCAGCCTTGAGCTAAGCCAATTGCACACCTCATCCATCTCCCTTGGAACTGTATAATGACCAATCCTGCACACAAACCAAAACATCAAGACTCTAACTTTAACTGATGTACTTCCTCCAAATCTTATTATAAAACACTTTCAATCGTTTCACAAATCTTAAAAAAACTAGTCTTTTTTTTCTTGATATCATTAAAAAATGATATGTATTTTTCATTTTTACTCTTATCTTTAAATCATGATATGACTATATTAAATATCTTCATGTTAATTAAGAAAAGGTAAAATTAAAAAAAAGTGATTTAATTATTATAAGGTATTGTACATTTTAAACCAAAATTTCTTCTACAAAGTGTCCTACAAATAGGATTGGAGGGAGTAATTTTTTTTTCTTTTTGAGTACAAGGCCGAGACCTAAGTTGTGCTAAACACAACAAACTAAATCAAATTAGAGCTCAGAAAGTTCCTGCATACAAGGGCTGGTGGATCATGTATTAACTGATATATCTCCATCAGCATAAATTAACTTACCCATCATAGGATTTGAATGTGATATATCGAAATCCTGCTGAACTTAAGGACTGTGCTGATTTCTCTCCATATTTGAAAGGAACTACATCATCGCCTGAAAAATGATTTGTAGATAGGCTTCCATTAGCAACCAAATCATTTAAAACATATATACTTTAATCATGAGGTAGTTGATGGACTTCAGGAACTTTAAGAGATAAGACCCGGAAAAATTCAGGTTCATAAGAAACAGTGCTATTGGATGATAATATATGCAGACACATACTTATTCCATGGCACAGCAATAGGGGTAATGAAGCTGCTCTCCTTCTTGCTTCATGTGACACTTCTATCTTGTTTCTTAAACTCCTGCATAATATCAATTTTTAACCACAAGGTATAAACTTGTCAGCAAACTTTTGCAAAAGAATATTGAAGCTGAATGTTCTTTGTCATAACCTAAAGTGATTAAAGTCATTATACCTTGATCCTGGAAGCCAACCACTTAAGCCAACAACTGCTCTTAAGTTGACAGAGTATGGAATGCCATTTCCATACCTTCCCAGGGCAAAACAAGTTGCTGAGTATAAGGCTGTTGCTGCACCCATGCTGAAGCCTCCAATACCAACTTTCACTATCACAAAAGTTTCATCGCATGTTAATGAGATTCATAAACAGATTGAATCTACAACATTTCAATTACAAGATCTTGGATCCTAATCCCAATTTTCAAAAATTGCTGCAAACTTGACATGGTCTCAGACCGACAAGTGAAAAGAACTTAAACTGATAAATTTGACATAGGTTGGTGTTTCATTACTTCTCTTCCTTCCTTTTCCTTTCCCTTCAATGATGTATAATGATAAAGAAAATTTCATTTTCCAATACAGAATGTTGTTTGAGAGTGTGTAAAATTTAGATGTAGATGGTACCATCAGCTGGCTCTGTAGACAGTAAGTTGGCAATGTGAGCTGCTGAAGCATCTAAACCCTCCCAATCATCAGGACCATCTTCTGAAAGTTCTCCCACATCGAACCCTTATCAATATAAATTTACCATGTTAGATTCTTGTAGTGCTTCTATGTATGTATGTATCGGAATAGAAGACAAGGTTGCATTACATGCAGTGCAAGGGAAACCGCCAAGTACAGCTACAGGACGGGTAGGAGCAGTAGGGCAAATCCATTTGATCTGCATCATATGATGTCGTAAGAAACTGTGCCAAAAATTTATTGAAGCATTTAAGAGTGACTATACAATATCTATCTGAAATTACGTTTTGGTTTTGGATTTATTTAGTCCCTTAAATTTTATAACTCAATGCTCAGATGTAGAGTTAGTTCTTCAAAGAAGAGTAGATGTCCAATTTGGTCCAACAGAGGGACTAAAATACAATGAGTAACAAGTTTCAGGGACCTTACTCATACAGATTAATAAATCAAAGGACTAAATCATTAGTAAATGTGTGAAGTGAGAATGTGTGAGTTGATGAGTTAGGTAACTAATAGAAGGAATATGCATATTCTTACATTTGGAAGAGGAAGAGATTCCAGAAGCTGAGAGGAGCTGCAAGGAACAAACCTCAGAATCAGATAAGCTTGTCTTTAGATACTCATATCATTTCAAGGCCATTCACTAAATTTTCAGTAATTTAACAAGAGTACAAATTTTGGTGAAGTTTCTGTGGTTCTTTTATGAGATGATTCAGGCATATAATTAGAAAAGCCAGCAGACATCAGCCAGAAACCACTGGTCTGCTAAAAGTGATCGTCAAGATTCTCAACCACGCTTTAAATCATCCGATTTAATGGCTTTGTTAATAACAACACTAACACTGAAGAAAAGAATATTTCTAATATTTGTGCAAGATTTTTTTTTTTTTCCATATAAAATATTCTTCTGTCAAAAGGCTTGTCTAATATTGTTCAGATGGGTAGAGGAAAAAGTGAGCATTTGGTCCCCCAAATAAGAATTTAGTATATGCTCTTCTAAATTAAATTTTCCAAAGTTAAAAAATGGAGATTACATTATATCATAGTACCACATTTTCCAGCAACAGAATTTATTCCATTTAGAATCGCAACAGAAAGAAGCTGAACTCTGAAAGCACTTAACATCGAGGAAAAAACACAAATATGAAGCCTGCCACAATGTTTGACATTTTTTTCCTTCAGAAGTTTCATCCTTCTTAGAGTAGATTCAACTTCCCCTTGAGTTCCATAACCATGCATTAATCACTCAAATGAATTTGCAGTACACCCATTTAAAATAAGGGGAAGAAATGGACCTTTTTATTTCAATTTAGTCCCATTAAGTTTTTCAGGCAGTATTAATTAGTCCCTCAAACATAAATACATATTTTCAACGACAAAATGTGTTATTTTAAGATTCAGAGGCCAAATAATTTAGATATGCGTCCTTTAAGGACCAAAAAATACATTTTCTCTAGAATGGAAGAAAATAATGAAAGGATTAACACAACCCAAGAAAATTACACAGCCATCAACACAGGACTTGAGGAGAAAGAAGGAGTCATAGTTAAGGCAGTGTAAAGAGCATCCTTACCTGGAACCATTGTCACCAAGACCATGTAACCAAACAATAGTGGCTTGGTGTTTTCCTTTGGGCCTCACCACATGAGTTTTCCCAAACTCAAAAGTTCTTCGACCAGTTCTACTACCTGCATTTTTCACAAGCAAGAAAGCTGATGGAGTTCAAAACAAGGGGAAAAAATGACAAGAATCCTCACAAAGAGTAAATATATCAAACAGCAGAAGAAGAGGGGGAAAGAGACAGATGAAAATCTTATAAAAGTGACTTTTTTAATACAAGGTGCAAAACACAAACAGTTAGAAGGCTAGCAAAAGCTCATGCAGGTTACAGGATTTCTACAGTTCATGAGGAGAAGAAAAACAAACCAGAGCCCACATGAGAATACGCATAGCTCATTTTGCAGCTTGAAAATTGTTGAAAGCACCCTCAGCTATTGCAATGACTATGGGAAGAGGATCTGCAATGAAGAAAATGGAGAATGGTAGTGTATTTATACACAGAAGGGTGTGGTGGTGTTGGAATAAAACGTGGGAATATGCATTGAAAATGTATTAGTGAGAACAAAAGCTATATAGATCGCGGCCAAAACCACCTAGATAGATGGGCATCCATGAAAAGGAGAGAACAAGAGACAGACAAAAGAAGTAAACCTTTTATCAGCACATCACATTCATCCGTTTTCTAAGCATAGAGAATCTGTGCTTTACGGACAGTGGCTTGAAAATAAAGGAAGCCACAACGATAACTGAAGAATATTACTGAAAACTTGAGAGGGAGAGAGAAAGAGAATAACCTAAGTCTGCACAAAAGAAAATCTCTTTCTTTTCACAAATGATTTGTTTATGAATTTCTGCATGATTGATGGATTCCCATTAACCTCGAACCAATAGTTTTAAAATTTTGAAATATTATATTCTCAAGGACAAAAAGGAAGAAATCAGCAGCAAATTGCATATGGAAAAGGGAAAGGGAGCTTCCGGGTATTTCCCCCTGATTTCTATAGTTCTTGATAGATAATAATGATAAAGCTTATCAAACTGGATTTCATATTAGGATTGAGAAGAAAAAGCACGTAAGCTTTTTACACTATTATCTCCCCCCCCCCCCCCGGCTGTGCTCAGCTGCTCAAGCCCCACTTGTACAAAAGTTTTGTCTGTTTATACTCTTCAAAAACAGCACGAATCAAAAGAATAGTACAGTATAGTACATGTGTGCGTGTAGTAAATAATATCCGAAAATCATGTAAAGAGGAATGGAAATAGAAAAATTGCAGCCCAAACATTTTCCAGTACAAGTCCCATTTCTAAATTACTATCAGGTTAAAGAACACGTCTTTTCCATTGCCTGCTAGAGAGAGCTGTAGTGGAATCCAATTTGAAAAAAATGTTCCACTTGCACACTTCGTTTATTGTCTTTGATGGATTTTCCTGTTCCAGTGTCCCCAAGTTGAGTAGAGATTTTGCAGCTTTGATTCCTACAGTAACATCAAATCCGTAGTTTATTGTGAAGTGGATCTGGTATATATCCCTGCCTCACATAGATAAAATTTCAGATATACGGAGAGGCAGAGCCACTATGTACATAGGTCAATGAGTACATTCATTGTGCACCACTATATATGCTCGCCTATAAAATGCAGCTTTCATGCAGCTTACCTGGAAAACTTAAATTCTCATCTATGCTTCCTTCTGTCCACTTATTCTTTTTCTGAACTTCTAAAGCTTCATTGATGAAGACTCGGAAATTATGTGAACTATTCAAATAGGGTAGGGAATGCCCCGAATCTTGAAGAGCTTGATCATGATCTACAAAAAGTATTGACAGCTAGCGCTAACACTAAGATCAATTTCTTTTTCTTCTTTTTTATATGCATGTATGTGTTAATTGGAACTTTGAAGTTATAAAAGGACTACTTGAAAGTGAAAGTTTGTGGAAGATTGGTGAGGTAAAGATTTCAATATCATATAATATCTCTATAGCATGAAAAACGTCTTAACATTAGAGTCAATATCAAATATCACGTAATAGTGTATTTTAATGCAACAAAAGCACTTAGTGCATATTGGTTTAATTTGTTGTTATAAGCTCAAGTTTAAGGACATAGCTTGTTATTGGGTGCGAGAGCCTTTAAACTTATACATTTCACTTTTCTTGTGAGGTTCTATGATGTGAGACTTACAATAAGTTTGAGAGTCAATATTCTTAACAGCTTCACTCCATAGCATTTCACTCAGTCTTTGATCAACCTTCTATCATCAAGGCTTTTCATAGGTAGCCTTTCTTTGCCATCGACCTCTCAACAAAAACACTAATGTTACGAATACAAGCTCAAAAGAAAAGCCAACCCTAAAGGATTAGTTTGTTGGGTGAAAAAACCTTTTAAATTTAAATCTCATTTTTTTTAAAGTGATCTCAATGCGGAGCTTCTAACACTACTCTGAGTGATAGTATCAATTGGAAGTTAATTTTTTTCCCAAGTTTTTAGGCATCAAAGCACTTGTTAAATGGTTTTTTTTTTTAATCCAAAAAACCAAAAGTTCTTAAAAGTAATCTTATGAGTTGGGTTTTTATCATTCTAAAATTTCAGCCAAGTCATGAGCGCACTCACAGATTCATAGCAACCTACATTCACTATCATTCTGCATTTTGTTTTAAGGAACAAAAAAGAGCATCAATATAAAACTGGTTGACTTGTAGTTCAAACAAGCTGATAACATGGCGAAACCTAATTGGTTGACTATACATGGTTAAGCATCTAATATCCCTCTCCTAGGTCAAAAAATGAGTGGATTTCCCCCTGTTTAAGAGGAACTTAGGGCTAACTTTTTGGTTTTGTCAACTCCTTCCCTACCCCACAATTGATGAATATGAAAAAAAATATGAGAAAGAATGGCTCCGAACACAAATAATAGTTGAACCGGAGAGTGAGTACAAAATAGGAGTATTTGTTTATGAGCAGACAAGATATGCTGCTGGCACTAGACTATCTTATTGGAGATTAAAAGTACTGTGTGGTGGGTGTAATCTTGCACTTTAGATCAGGCTGCTTAGATAGGCAAAAGCTTTATAGTAAAGGAACATATTGATTGCCCAATTGAAAAAAGTTTGTAAATTTCAAAATCTCAGAGGCACTAGTGCTACTAACTTAACCATTTTCAATATATTTTACAAAAACTCTCTCTTCTGCAATATAAGCTGGCATGCACGCTGGGAAAAAAATATTCCCCTTTTTTCCTTTAAGAAAAAAAAAATATATATATATGTTAAAGAAAAAAAAGCGGAATAATTTGGGACGCAGATTTAAAACCTCTCCTCTTGAGGGGAATTTGACTTGAGCTCTACGCTTGAAGAAGAATCAATTGCTTAGTTTCATGTAGGCCAAGAAGCTGGTACTCAGCTATTGAGTAGACACTTGTGAACGATAAGAGGTGAGTTTCTAGCTTCACTTTTTTTTTCCCCTCAGTCACTTAAACAAGCTACGAATTCATCAACTGATTTGGATAAAATTAATAACTTGTTTTTCTGTGTCTTGGAACAAACAAGGACATTTAAATATTTGGACTATGGTATGCTTTGATGGGACACATACCTAAGCTTGGGGCATGTTGCATGTTTTATTGTTTTGTTTAGTCACATTGATAAGACGCCAGATTCAACCTGCATCAAGGAAAATTTTAAGCTAATCTTTCTTAAAAATTAATATTAATTAATTACTTTTTTAAATGAAATGCACCTTCAATATGCTCAGATATTTATTCATAATTAACTTGCCTGAATTTCCTCTGATTGATTGGAAAAAAAATTTTCACCTGAAGTGGAGCATTTCATACATTATAAAGTGGCTAAATTGCAAGAATAGAACAAGGGTTTTTTTTTTTTTTTGTGGATCCAATGTTTTTTTAGTATTTTTGGAAGATTTATTCTCATTTAAACTTTATATGAATTTTTATATATATTGCATGATATTGATATCAATATAAAATATAAATCCATAACAAGGTTTATTATTATTTTTATAAATTATTTCATTTCCAGTGGTATCAAATTAGATTCAAGTATTATTGAAACTAATTGGAGATAACTTTCCCAGTAGAAGAAATAACAGACACCTTAAATCCATATATCAACTGTACAAAAGAGCATGCACTGAGAAAATGCCAATAAAACCTCTTTTTTGAGCAGAAAAGTGAATACATATATATAGTAATGCAATTATTTCTAAGGCTATAAAAGTGGTATTGGGTTGGCATGCAAAATTCAAAATGAGCGATGATGATAAGGTGGACCTGTGTGGAGTTACGAGACAAAATATGGTTTCCGAAAAAAACAAAGAAAAGTTGGATTGTCATCATTAAAATTCAAAAGCATATGATAAGCCAGTTTGATATATATTTGCAAATCATGTCAGGTCCTCACGTAATCATTACTTGTTAATCCTTGATCTCCCGATCAGATCATGCTATCTGATGCATCTTCCAATTTAATCAAAGCTTAATTTAATTTGAGGTGATGTCAGCGTTAAATAGCAACTTCAAGATGTGAATTTAGTCAATTTTATTATGTTCCAATTTAATCGAAGCTTAATTTAATTTGATATGATGTCAGCGTTAAATAGCGACTTCAAGATGTGAATTTAGTCAATTTTGTTATCAGTGAAACTGGATATTCTATGTCTTATATCCCAGCGATAATTCAATCCACAAGACAAAACACAATCCGATGTTGTGGCCTTCTATCTGGCAATCGTACTCTTCCTTCAGTAAATGTGGATAGTTCGCACAATAAATTCAAATAATTTGTAGTATTATAATGATTAGATCAATAGAAAGAAATTCGATATGTTTTGAACAAGACAAAGGATTTCAACACTGTGCATTGGAAAAATAAACATAAGAGAGCTACTTCTTAACATTTGAGTATATTAATAGATAATAGATACTAGAGAAAATGATAAAAAAAATTTTAATTATATAAATAACAAACTAATCCCTCAAAATACCAAAATTTTATTGAAGCTGGGAATTTTTATGTCAATAATTTTTAAATTAAAATTATTTTACCCTTATTAAAAATAACAAACTTCAAACAAAATTTTTATTTAAAGAATAATAACTTTTATTCTGTAAATCATAAAAATTGAATAAAAAATTAAACTTGTCAAATATAATTTTTATTATTAAAAAATAAATTTTTAAAATAACAAACTCAAATCATAACTTTTGTTTAAAAAATAACAACTTTTATTAAATAATTATAAAAATTAAATAAGAAATTATAATTTGTCAATAATAATAAAATAATTTTTTTAATTTAAATTTTAGTGACTTAAAAATTTTTAGAGACTTCAATGAAATTATAACATTTTAAAGGATTGGATTATAATTTATATAATTTTGAAGGATTCTATTATCATTTTTCCTAAATACTAAATATTTCATTCGCTCAAAGATGTAAGATATTTTTAATTAAATTTTATTTTCAATAAATTAGTTGTTAATTTAATATCATATTTATATATTTATCCTTCCTTGATAGGATATTTCATTTTAAAATAAATATGAAGTAATTTATTTATTATGAACACTTTAAAAATATATTAGTTACATATTAAAATATTAAAAATATCTTATATTAATTGACGTCCAACCTTTTAATAAATATTTTATATTTTTTTATGAAAAAAATATCTATAGCCAACAAAGTAAAAGTTTGAAAAATTTGCAAGGGACTTCATGGCCATCGAGGCTTTATAGCTTTCTGTGCGGAAAAATGGAAAATTCAAAATTTTCATTGGGCAATAATTTTTAAATTGATGCTAAAGTTTGATTAAAATGGCTTCGTGTGCTTTTGTATTTGCAAAATTACTTCCCAGTTTAAAAAAGGTTTTCTAGATTTAGGATCAACTTGACACAACTCGATTATTGCGTCTTAATTTTTATAGTAATTTTACTCAACATAACTCAATTAATATAATTTTATAATTTAATAAATTGCAAAGAATCAGTTATGTTGAGTCAAAAATCATGGATTAGATAAAGTTTAAGGACTAGAAAATATATTATCCTTTCAAAATATTATTAGAATGTTTTATTACCTTCAAACATTCATGAAATCAGTTTCAATGCTTATCATACTGATAAGCACTAAGAGCTCATCACTTCTAAACTGTATAGATATGACTTTCATGATCTAAATTTATAGTTTTTCAATAGGTGTTTTTTAAATGTTTTTTAAAAAAAACCTAACAGTTAAAAGATTATCTTTATTTTAGATTCTATATCTATTAATATTATTTTTTAAAAAAAATAGAAATAAAAAGCTGTAAATCTTGATCATTTAAATTAGATCTAAACAGTCCAGAGGTGATGAACTCTCGATGACATTCAAACTGGTTCCAAATATCCATGTGATAATTTTATAATTAAAATCTAATCTGAGATTGATAAAATATGCTTTTCCTACTATAAATTTTTTTTTAGAGAAAGATTAAAATAAATAAACGAAGTAACAAAATAAATAAATAAATTCCAAAAGTTTCATAAAAGCAGGTTCGAGTTAAAAGAAGGAATAGAAGAGAATAAGCATTTAAAAAACTCATTAATCAACAAAAGAAGGTTGTAGTTGAATCTCCCTATGCATTATAGATTTAATAATCTATAGTCCTTACAACATAAATAGAATTAACTTTCAGTGAGCTGTAAAGTGGGGTTGATTTTGACATAAGATTATAAAAGGAAGTGGCTCCATATTTCAGTTTAAGAATGATAAAGATAGATAGGTGGAACATACTTAAAAAAAAAATGGTTATTCGTCTGCAAAAATAATTGTTGGTAAATCTCTGTTACTATTTCTTTTACAAAAATACAATTTAACGTTATAAGAAATCTATTATTTTAAATTAATAATATGACGAATTTTTAAATTTTTATTGATAGGTATAAAAAAATTTTAACTTAACGACATGTCGTGATTAAATTTTATAAAATTTTTAATTTTATAATATGACTGAAGTGTTTAATGAAGGAAAATATAAAAAGTTTTATATAGTTTAATTCAATTTTTTTTCATTCATCTCTTACTGCTAAAACAATGTGAGATGGTGATAAATAATTTAATTGAAGTAACAATTTATTATTGGTAAGTTTGTCACCCGAGCCTTTGAATCTATTCTGTTCGGATTCGAATTACCTAATTTAGATTTATTACTTTATTGTGCTTATAAATAATTTTCTTAAAGAGAAAAGCATTTGGGAAAACACTTTAATGAAAGTAATAATATTAAGTTGTCATTTCAGTATGTTCATTGCATTGTATGCTTTTGTGTCATTCCATCATTTCCTTTGGCAAAAGAAGAGGAGGTTGGTGGAAATTTCTATGTGAAATTTAACATTATTATTATTCATTAAAAAATGTTTATATTTAGAGGAGAATTTTAACAAAGAGCCTTGATCATATTTATTTAAATTTAAATTTTTTAAATTTTACTGCAGTTCAAAAGTATTGACTTGTTATTAAATTTTTGAAAGAACTGACAAAATTGCCCCGCATTTGAATTAATACTCCCTCCATTAACAAATATAAAGTATTTTTTGAGTAGTTGTATGTTTAGAAATATAAGATTTTTTAATTTTTTTAGGTGTAATCATTGCCTTTTTTTCAAAAGTGCTCATATTGATAATGACTTTATATTTATTGTAAGGTGATTAATAGGAATAAATATAAAAAGATAGAGTTAGTTTGAAAGTAGGTAACTATTTTATTGGAGGGGTGAGATTCAATTAAAAATACCTTATATTTTTAATGAAGAGAGTATTATAACTTTCCTATTTCACTTATTAATTTACTTACAAAATGTTGTTCATTGCCTTACTTACTTGTTTTTATTTTATATGTTTAAATCATCTTAAGACACTTTATTAATTATTATACTACATGTTATTCACTTACTTACGAACTGATATTTATTACTCCACTTCACTTGTTCATTGTCAAATTTTTACTTAATTTTATTTCAAGAAAATAAACTAATGAAATAGGATAATTAATAATATTTTATAAATAAATGGACAAGTAAAATAAGAAAATAAATAGGTGAAATATGACAATTTTGATATCAATTTAAATGAAGGATAATTTTGTTATTTTTTTTATAAATTTAATATTAAATCAATATTTCTAAAATGTAATGAAATTTTAAAAAGTTAGAGATTTTAAATTTAAATAAGTTTGGTTCAAAAATATTTATTGAAATTCCTCCTATATTTAGTGTGGAACCCTATCTGTGCAATCAAAAATATCATTATCATTATTATATGTTTTTTTTTTTGGTTTTACTTACTTTTTGGCGTGTGCCATTCGCTCCCAACCACCATTTTTGTTCTCTCTCTCTCCCCCTCCCCCTCTCCTTTGACCTCTTGACTTTTACCTGGAAACATATGTCATTTCTTTTCCTCTTTTCTTTGCTTTTGTTTTCAGCCGCAACATATCTCTGTTTAAAAAAAAAAAAAAAACAGAAAGCAAGCTAAGCATTGCTTCTACAAAGTCTCCAATTTCCTAAGCGAAGGGTATTGTCTTGCAACAGCCTCTTATATTATTAGGAGGCATGTACTGGCCATGCAAACTTCTACCAGCAAAGGAAGCCCAAAAAAATCTGCACACCTATTCCCTTCACAACAAACATGAGTAACATCTAACTGCCAGTCAAAAGTGAACAGATCTCCTTCACTAAGCCCACTATGAGCATTAGGAAGCACCGTCTCCTGGGATAGTAAATGGACAGCCATCACACAATCTACGACCCCACGCCATATGAAGACCATCAATCGCATTGCCCAAAGCTCAGCTTGCGGAATTGCACTGCCCAATATTACTACAGCTTCCATGTTCATTGCGCAAGAGACAACCCGCACCAGCTAAGCCATTAGTATTTTTAACAGCACCATCACAGTTTAACGTCATCCAGCCCGCAAGGAGGTTTACGCCAAGAGATCTGCTAGTGCCATTACCTTGAGTTTGTCTTAAAGCATCCCTGACTGTGAGTGCCCATCAGCCAACATCCTTGTTTCCCTCACCAGATGATAGCTTTGTGTAGACACCTGTTGAAAAATGAACCTATTCCTTGCTTCCCATAGCTTCCATCAGGTGAGGCCAAAGATAGAAGACCATTCTGAACTCATACCATTATCAGAAGAGATACCCATAAGGTTATGTACCAACCAGTCACCAGATGAGTAATCTCCTTCGGGAAAGAAGAGTTCTCCAAACTTCGCGTGCCAGTGGACAATGCCTCAGGACATGATTGATATCTTCATTGCTGCTCCACATCTGGTACAGTTGCTGTTATTTGAGAAGTGCCGCCTAACCCGTTCAAAGCCGCAACATCACTGCATTCGTTATTTGGCCCATATTTTCATTCCGTATGACATTGGAACGTAAATGTACAAGGATTCCAGGCCTCCAGTGCTTGTAGAAAGCTTGGTCAGAGTCCCAATTTTTTTTGGGCTGAGTTAAAATTTTCATAAACTAACTAGGATTCCCATAAATTTGAAGACACAAATATCGGTTTATTTAGGTGGTCACAAACTCTTATCCACAAATTCTCTTTATAACATTCATCTTTGAAACTTTTTTTTTTTTTTTTTGCATACGCATACAAATGCAAGCTGAACCATCCAAATATAATCCGCCAATTGATCCCTCGCATGTGCATATCAAAGTTGAACTATTACTCAAGTGTATACATACTTTACACATCATCAATTTATTTCAAATTTCTGTAACGGAACCTGGAAGCTTTTCTTTTAATTATTATTTTAAGCAACTTTTATACAAAAAGAAAAGAAATCAGAGAGTCGCTATCGTTATTAAGGTTAACCAACAGGAATGATGACAACTCCAGCAAATGACCAGACTGCGTCTAAATAATCACAAATTTTCTACGTCAAAATTTGCAAGAGCATCAAAACAATGTATAATCCAATTAAAAGCAAACAACATTAATGCTTCCGGTATTTTAAAGACTCGAGTGTATGCTAGACAAAGTCTCTTCATCTGTCCAAAATTTATTCAAGAAAAATTTGCAGGCTTAAAATCAATGATGGTCGTCGTCATCGCCATGTCCATCAGGTGGACCACCGGGTCCAACCACTTCAAGCTGTTAAAACGTGACGTTCATTAATCAGTGCCGGTCTGTAGTAAAATCCCCTTGTAATGTAATATGATGTATTGATGATCCTACTAAATCTATGTAATGGGGACCAAATGGTAATCAACGTCAACCAAATGACCAACGTTAAATAAAGATGTTAACATGCTTTGACAATTGACTAGTCTCTCATATTCCACATTAAGTGATCAAGAATGTCTGATAATTCTTGATGGATCAAGAATCACATTAAACGTAGAGGAATATACATGCAGATATGCTGAAGCTGATTCTATCATAATTACTATTGGAGAACCAAAAACTTGACAGCCAATATAGTTCAAACTAGTCCAAAGTAATCAGATTGCGGAGATACTCCCTCCGGTCTTATATAGTAGTCACCTTCTAGAAGAACTATATGGTCCTGAGCATACGTTACAAGAGTGTGCAGCATTAATTTCTTTTTTTCAAAGTATACTTTTTTTCCAATTTCCAATGAGGAGATAGAGCATGTTTGCTTTTTAAACTTATGGTATTTATTAGAGTTAAAAATGAAAATCAAAGCAATTTTTAGACAATTTCAATTATGTAACCAACTTTTATTGGTTTCCCCGTGAGTTAGTTCTAACTGACTTGCAATAGGTACCGGAGTGGGTATTAATTAGAAAAACTATATCTAAATTCAAATTTCATGGGAGCAGCCTCAACCCATGCAATTCATGACAAGGAGGGCTCTTGAACAAGTGTCTCTAAACAAATAGGTAGCTTTAAATCTATAAACTTAAATGCACAGGCATGTAAGTCAAACCTGATCGTGTAATGCTGCTACATATGGGGAAAAAAGGTAAACATATAGTAGATGGAACTCTCAACTTACCACAAAATACTGTGAACACACTGGACATTCATGAGGCTTGTCTTTCTCCAGCCAAAACCAGACAACATCATGCTCATCCTCTGCAGTGAAAAAGTCATTCACCTCAATGTCATAACTGAAGTATGATCATTTTCATTGAAGAAGCTCGCACACAAGACGTATCTAAAGATTAAAAGTACCCACCGCCTTCACCTCCAGGGCATCCAACTATCCTTTTGTCATAGTATGACTTAACAACAGCAGGTGCTTCCTATGAACCAAAATAACAATGAGATTAATATAGATGGAACATGTTTACAACATAACACTACATATACCAGGAGGAAAAGGTGAATATGAACCAAACATAGATAAATGTAACTTTACCACTCAGAGGCAAGTTTTTTGAAGGAAAAAAAATTCAAAAAATAAGGAAGCATGAATGTTATATCTGGAACCTATGTCAATCAAATGAAAAATGGATCTTATCAAGCTTAAATGTGACAAGTAGAATAAATGATCAGAAAGGCACAAAGAGCAATAGTACTTAGAGTCCATCTGAGACAAAATGACCCAAGTGAATGTGATACTTCAATACAGGAGAATGAAAGATGATTTTCCGTCCCAAAATCTATGTCACAATGCAACAACTCTATGTTATGTTTATAACTCTTTCTTTGTTAGAAGCCTTTATTCACTGTTCCTCTTTCTCAGCCATAGTAAAGATCCTCATACTTCGTTTTATTTTACAAGGGGGTTATTATGTCCATTGTAAATTGCTTCAAAGGAAGATCATACTGATGTTATAAGCAGTTTAGGTTCAAAAATCAGTAAATATCTATATTTTAATCCATTATTTATGTTACTTCCTTTATCTTCCTTCCACTTCCCCATACTCCTTCCATTTCTATATATAAGGAAAAAAAAAAAAAAAACTGTATTACACAGTTTAAGAAAGTTGGTTGATCATACTAATTATGTCTGAAAGTAAAAAAATCAGACTAAAATGCTCCATGTTAATTAATATAAGCATGTATTAATTATTTCTCGTTAATGTAAATTATGAGGGGTAATTTAGAAAATGTGTAATAAATGCTTATTGAAATAGATGGTTTTGCTTATATTGAAAAAAAAAACAAGTAAAAAGTGATAGTTTCTCTTATAAATAGAAATGGAGAGAGTATTCCATACATCGAAACAAACAAATTAGTCATCATTTTCAACATCAATACTATTCAAAGTTAGTTATTTAACTTAAGCAGGGATGAGGAGCCACAAAATGGTGGTACTTAATTTTATGTCAATAGCTATGCATTATCTGGCTGCGTAGCGCCTGCTATGGTATACATTAAGAAAATAAAAAAATCGATAGAAGGATTGAATTTGACATAAAAAATATGTTGGCATTTTGAAAATCAAATCAAGGCTGCCTTAATTAATATGCATATCAAATATAACATTTTGATAAAATTAAATACGAATTAATAGGTTTTAATACACAATATTAAGATATTCTGATAGTTTTTATTTATTTTCTCATGTTTCTCTCTGGCTACAAAATAAGCGACAACACGCAACTACAAAACCAGTATTGGTCTTTCGAAAAATTTTAAATATATTAGAAGACTGACCTTTGTGCCAAAAGGACCTTCAGGATAGTTTATATCCAGAAGCATTTTTCCCTGATAGAAGTAAACAACTCAGAAACATGAATTATCCTTCAAATACCAAAACTACCCACTCTACGCCAAAACAACGATTCAGAACGATCCATAATCCACACAGAAAACCAGAAAAGCACGAGAGTAGTCACCTGAAGCTCTGCCTCAATCTCCTCGCGCTCATGGCCAGTAGCAATAGGCATTACATCCTCAACCGTCTTCGTGATCGCAGCATCCGCTATTTATAGTGACAAAAAAAAAAAAAAATAAAACAACGCATTATGTCAATCAAGGGATGAATCGCGAAAGAAATTATCAGTAATAAAAGAAAACAAGATTACCAGAACTAAAATGGCGAGGAAGAACACAAGAGCAGGGACGAACAAATGAAGAAGTGTCGATTCCAAATCGAGCAGGCGTGGAAGCAGATCGGGAAGAAGAGGAGGAGAGCGTGGCAAGCGATTTGAGCTGAGAAGCGAAAATTCTTCGCCACATCGTTGGTGAGTCACGCCAGAGATCGAATTCAGCAGTAGCACCGAAATGAATAAAACAAAAAACAAAAACGAAGGGGTGTTTCCGTTTCGTTTTTTCTCTTTGGAAAAGCAAGAAGGGGCGAATCACGACTGTGCGCTAGGCTCAAAGCCTTTGGGTTTGAAAGCGTCATGGACTAGTGGGAGAGGCATGCCCCTATCTGTTTGCCACGTGGCGAGGACCCCCGCTCGTGCTACATTCCAAACTTGTCTTTTGGAGATTGGGCGTTTTCATATCGACCCAACTCTATTGGGCTCTCCCAAAACAACAAGGGCTACTAATTATGGCCCACATCCTCCTCGTTAGATGAGGAAAATAAAAGGACGCAAAACCTCTCAATTTCCTTATTATCATTTTTACTCTACTATTCTAATCATAACCATTCATAAAATCTATTACTAAAACCAATTCACTTAAGTTACATTTGGATGTTTGGATTTAAGTTAAAAATATGGATTTAAAATTTCACATTTAAAATTCATAGATTTTAATTTCTTTATTTGGATGATATAAAAAATTTCAAATTATAATATTAAATCACTTGTTTGGATTTAAAAGAGACTTGGACAACGTCAGCAGTCTGTTCCTAAACAAAGTTGATGGTCTAAATGGCTAACTCCTATTGGGACCAAACTGTCAATACCAACTGGGACTGTAGCACTGACGATGACTAAGATTAGATGGTCGACTTTCAGTGGGATCATATCAAAGATGCCATCAAGATTGGATTGCTGACTTCAATAGGGAAGCAATTGAGTTTGGACTAATGGTGACGACTGGTACCAAACAACCCATTTTAATAGAGAGGTGATAGTGTTCGGACTAACGACAATAACTGGGATCAAACAACCCACTTCAACCCAGAGGCGACTGGGTCCAAATTAACGATGACGACTAACACCAGACGACCAACTTCAAGTAGGAGGCGACCAGGACTTGATCATCATTGTCAACTAGGATTTTGCTTGCGGCCAGGATCAAATAACCAACTCCTACAGTGAATGGGTTGATAAATTTGACCAAGATCAAATCATTGACAATCCAATCACGATTAGCACTAGCGATCCAATCTCAATTGTAAAAAGTCATCTAATCCAATCAGCACAGGCTGCCCCAATATTAGTCCGATCCTTGTGGAAGTCAGTCGTCCTATCTCGATCATTATCATCTATCTGGTCCAAGTGAAAGTTGGTCATCCTATCTCGATCATTGCTATCGGTCTAATCCTTATGGAAGTCAGCTGTCCAGTTTGGGTTGTTGTTGTAGGTCCAAACCCAGTAAAAGTTGGTCGTTTAGTCCTAATCTTCACTGTTTCTTAAGTTATAATGGAAGTCAGCTATCCAATCTCAGTCATTATTGGGGTATAATCCTAGTAGAAGTCAGCTCGGTGGAAGTCAAGGGCCTATCCGAGCTATCATTGATGGTCTAATCCTAGTAAAAGTCGGCCGTCCAGTTTGGGCCAATGTAGGCAATTCAATCTCGATGGAAGTCAACCATTTAGTCTGGATTATCACCTGCACTTTGGCCTTTACTAGCATAGGTGGTTTGGTCCTAACAGAAGTCAACAATATGGTCTCGGTTGGCACTTGCAGTGCAGTCTTGGTCGGTAGTGGCAGTCGATTCAGTTCAGTCAACGGTGGTAGTTTTGTTCCCAAGGCTTTAGCAGTCCGATCTAATTACCTTTAGCAGGCCTATCAAACCTTTGTGGATTTAGGTCAAATTATAAAAGAAGTTGAGTTAATATTTGAAATAATAAAGGCTTAAAATGGATTTTAAATTATAAAGAAATTGAGGTATAATTTGAATTTGGATTAGGTTCAATCCAAATCCATACATGTTTAATTACCTAAACAATAAATTTAGCTTAAATCCAAATTCATATATATCCAAACATAGCATTAATGTAGTGATGCTAATGGTAATAATAAGAAAAGTAGAGGGAAAATGATAATTAAAAAATGAAGAAGTTTTACATCTAAAAAAAGAGGTTAATTTATTTCATATAAATTTTTGTATTTCAAAGATAATTCTCTTACCATCAACTCACGATTTATACTTGTAAAAAAACACAACTCATCTCATTTTCACAGCATTTAATGAAATCACCATGTATATCATTTCCTCTCTTAGGATTTTCTTATGGGAGCTTTTGTCTCTCCATTGATAGGAGTTCTTTTTTATGGCATTTGTTCTCTGATGCCTCTCTTGTTGGTTTCTACCATGAAAGGGGCATACAGTGTGAGTGAGTGTGTAATCGAATTTTAGTCTCTTTATGTTAAGGTGTTTTGTTCCCCCCTTCAAAGTGATTATCTTTCATGTGAATGACTCAAGTGATAATAGGTCCTTTTCACACATATGGGGGATTGTTGAAGTAATTGTGTGTGTGTGTCAAAAGAAGAAGTCCCATATTGCCCGCATGAAAAAAGCTCCTAGTGTATAAATGTTGAAAATTGTGCCCTAGGGCTAATTAGTGTATTATGCACATTATTATTTAATAAATTTCTCTTTTGTTATTATAACAATTGCATGTTCAATATAATATCTGTATCCTTGGATAAACTATAGTAATTGTTCTAAATGTCCCTAGTCGGTCATCTATGAGGGATCATAAATGAAACAAGACTACTATGACTTTGATTAATTATAGATATATAAATCAAAGTCATAGGCACTTGAAAGAATACAAGATGCTGGATCGAATCGTTATGAGAAAGTTGCATAGCACAAATCATAAGCCTATCTCATATGTAACTATATCACTAAGCCCTTTGACTTGAGATCATCATGGATTCCTACATGATGACCATTGAACTTTGACCTAGTTAAAAGTCACCTTTGACCGGGTGATCATAAAGGCTATGATTGAGTTTAGTGATATTCATGCAAAGAAATATAAGCAGGCAAGATGAAATTTGTCCCTCACATTAAGTGAGAGATATTATTGGGCCCCTCGATGAGTAAGACTGAGAAAATATATGGCCATGCTACAATGGAAAGGATTTTTCCATTACTACTGTCAGTCCACTTAGAGATTGAGAATGTAATGGTTAGGTAAAGGAGAATGAAAATTTCATGTCTCTTACTAGACCAAAATATTGAGTGACAAAAGGAATGTGATACGGTTGCATGATAGGTTACATCAGATTATCAATTCCCATGTGAATTGGGTAGTTTTAATATCTTGCTAGAGGCCACTTGTGACTTGTGGGCTAATAGCGTAATTAACCTATTGCTAATTTCATATGGGCCTACAAGGTCGCACACAAAAACAGCTCAACTCAAGCTATAATGTTCAAATTCATTGAATCTGAAATATATCTAGATTCAATAAATGTAATATATGGTGAATGAATTATATATATATATTTGAATATTTATTTGATATATATATATATATATATTTATATGAAATATAAAATTCAAAATATAATTTTATATATATATATATATTTGAAATATATATATTCATATGTGTGTGTGTATATCAGCTATATATATAATATATGTATACGATATATAAAATTATATATATATATATATTTGAAATATATATGTATATATATAATCATGTACATATATATAATATAATATGTATATGTGATATATATTATATTATGTTAGTTTTAAATTAAATTTTATATGATAGATTAAATTTAATAACTAACATGATATGAGAGAATATCATGTCAGTTTTATAATTTAAATTTATAAGATAAATTCAAATTAGATATGATATCATGGATTAAATTTATGAGATAAATTTAATTATATTTTCATGAACTTTTTAAATAAAAGATGAAAACCCTTATCAATATACTATATATAAATACGGACATTCTATATGAAGGTACAGAGAGTTAGAAAAGTTCTGACAATAAAAACACTTTGAGAGCCACAAAACACCTTATAGAAAGGAAAAAATAACGTTCAAAGAAGAACGAATGCTGGGAGCTGTTTGAGTTATAGAGCTGTTTGAGTTATAGAGCTGTTCGTGTGGATACTAGTAGAGGGAATAGATCTACATTATTAGTTCCTGAGATCCAAACTCTTGAAGAAAACGTGCACCAAATTTAAAGAATTAAAAGGTAACTCTTCTATCCACCTTGACTTAAACGAGTTCGTTCGGTCTATATTAGGATAGGGACTTTAAAAATTTAATCTTTCGCTGCACCTCCCTATCCAACAATAAATACTAAGAAATAAAATGGGCTAGTAAAATGGGTTCGGAGGAGAAGTGGGTTCGCGAGCATGAAACAGGCTAACTCAGGGTAATCATAATTGAAAACAATCAATTCACCCCTTGAGCAAGTTAAATAGGCAATGAGTTCCTTTTGAAAAAATAAATAATGATTTATTTATATGAGCTCACTAGAAAATCTCAATTTCTAGCTGTTTGGAGTTTGAATTCAAAACTTGGCCATCTCTAGGTTTTAAACCATTTCTCAAACAGATTTTACTAATCAATTTTCATTAGCATTTTATCCCCCCAATGACTCAATGCTTAATGGAAATAATATTCTTGTAATTGAGGTTTAACGGTGCATTAATTCAGTGATTACTGCTCCAACATTCGTCTAGGACCTTGGCCTATATATAGGCATGCACGCGAATAGAACCATTTGCCCAGCTTAAGAGTTTTTGAGCCACTTCTTTCCTCCTCTACTTTGATTGTGATGTGTTCATCTGTCTAAGTTTCTTTCATATTAGTGCTGCTATTTTGTTGCCTTACTTGTGCAGGAAATGCTTGTTTAATCTTGGGGAACTGTTTGTCTGTCGTAATGTGCTGGAATAGTTTTTAAGAGCAGTGTCTTTTGGCACAACTCAAGCAGCTTTTGCTCTCCTATCTACTGCTAATAGTAAAGAAATTTATGGAGAAGAAAGTAACCATATCCAAATATTGGCCAAAAATATACTTCAATTCAAAATGTTTCAACAACTTATCCAGTGGATACATGTACAACTAGTTAATGGAGTTGAATCAATAGTTTATCTTAAATTTCAAGTTCAAACCTTATAATATACAATCATATTAAATAAATATGTCACAAGTATTTTGAAATACCATTAAGATTACCGTTGATAATAATAGTCCCACACAGCGAAGATTCTAATTAGTCTAAACAGAAGGTGGTACCAGATGGTAGAATTTAAAAAAAAAAAAGTATTTCAATAACCTTGCTAATTAATCATTTTCGAAACTTGTCACGTTCATTAAGACCTAAAAAGCATAGATATATGTAAATATAATAAACTTTAAATCGACATCACCACCTTTGCTCCTATTATTACAACAAATCTGTATGTTGGCTGCAACATATATATGTAATTTTGGTTCTATATATCTATTTGCAGCTAGACACGATGCTGCAAGGAGAGAGATAAACTAATAATGAGAGTGGACTTCACCCAAGTGAGCTTCATTTACCCACCGACATGTCCATCTCTGTGCTAAATCTTATTGATGCTGCAACCAAAAGCATTTAGTCCTCTTTCAAATTTTAGTCCTAGTTCAACCCTTTTTTCATAGGAAAGGAAGATACATATACTCACTCACGCGCCACGCTTACATGTTCACTCTCCAGCTCTTTTATTTTCGAAGAAGAGTTTTGATACTGATCGGCCAGTAAGTCGATCTCCTTGGCAGCCCTAAGCATTAATAAGTATATATATGGCTGATGGTTGATGGAATTTTCAAGCCCGTCTTGGATAACGAACGCTGAGCAATCTGATATCATCTATGACAGGACCACACAAAGAGCCAGAGTTGTCACTTTTCATCGTATAAAACGAACTGAAGAACATAATATGCGTACGTGTTGACACAGCCTTGAACCGAAGCTTCCCTCTAACGAACCCTCCTTTGCCCTCGGACTGGTACGGCACCTTCACTGTGTCTCTACTTGCGAATGCCTCTACCACCATCGGTCCTTCGCACTTGTTGCTGGCGTCCCCCACGGCGAAGGTGAGGTCGTAGACCTTTCCGACGATTGTCCTGACCACTTGTGCGATAGCGCTTTCTTTGCCGGCGACGAGTTCGATGGCTCTTTTTCCCGCCGGGACGGTGAAGTGGTCAGAGTCGATGTACTTGACGGCTTTGAGAGATTCGACGATCCATCCTGGTAAAGGACTGTGATCGTCCTCGACGTGAGGTGGAATTAGAACTCCCCAGGATGTGTTGGGCAAAATGAATGGGCCTTCCTCAAAGTTTCCGTTCTTCAACAGATTGGCTGTACCCACAAGGTGAAACAAAAAAATTTAGACAACGTTTTGCACAAGCATGAAAAGACCCGTACTTGAATCTAAATTTCTTACATGTCTACAAACATACATGGTGATGGCAGCCAGGGGTGAGTTGGACTTCTTCTATCTCTATTTCTTTTTTTTTAATAAAATCAGAATTTAATAATATATTAATATTTAATCATTCATGTATTTATTTTATTTGTATTATTATATATGCCTTCCGAACTACAATATAAATTATTATTAATTAATTTATATTTTTTAAAAAAAGTTTGTTAGAGTATTAATTTTTAAAAGAATTTCATATCTTTTCATTACTAACCTTGAGTGGATCAATATATATATAATAGTAGTTGACTTATTCAAAAGTCAAAACACCATCATCAATAATATAATTAGAATATATATATATATATATATATAACCTATTAAATACTCTATTTTTTGGAATCATGAAACTTCTAAAAAATGCCATATATTGTGGCTAGAGGGAGTATATGAGGTTACTTTATTATTACCTTGGTAATATGTAATATTTTCTCATTTTTGTTATTTTTATTGTATTTTTTGGACTTGTCTCAACTTATTAAGTCGGTTGAAAAAGGTTCCAAAATCTATGTATTATATAAAAATTAGTTTTTATTTTCCATTTTCACTAGCTCTCTATTTAATGTCACAATAATAATTTAAACTTCTACTACCTATGAAACAAGTTTTTTTTTTTTGGAAAAGAACCTATGAAACAAGTAAACCTAAAATGAGTATTTTTAAAATAAGTCTTAATTATACCTAAAAAATTTATATTAGGATTCATATTTAGGACAAGGAAAAATGAAAATTAAGATTAATATTTACTATGCATGAAGTGTCAAATCAAAGGGGTGCATTGTTTGTCACGTGTCAAACAAGTGTCGTCACATGTTTCGATTTACTATGTATGTCCTTGTCTTGGTCTAGGTGTAGCTGGACTTTCACGACTCAAATTTTATACCTTTATACTGATATATATATATATATATATATATATTTGTCTCTTAGTAACGTTCTAATTGCTGAGTGTTATGATTGATGAACGATTTGGGTTGTTGGAGAGTGGAGAGAGCAAGATGAAATATACCTGAAGTCCTTCTGGGAGGATAAAGGAGCTTCAAAGCAACCGAATCAATGAGCGGGCCACAAGCCGGGTCCTCCTCAACTCCTGGGTTATGGATCACGATTTCTTCTTCCTGATAGTCCGCTTGGAACCCGTACGCGAAAGACTCGCAGCCGTTGCTCCCGTACATGGTCTGAATCGGAATCATTCCCCAGTCCGCCTTCTCCGTCGTCGGCACCACCGACACGTTGAGCTTCTCCACCTGCGCGCACGTCCTTGACGCGCTAAACGTGAGCGAGTAGAATCCGCCCTTCACCAGCTCCACTTTCTGCTTGATGTAAGCTTCGTTGCCCAGCCGGACAGCGAAGGACCCCTCCGGCACCACCAGCACCATGTCGCCTTGCTTCTGGCCGGATCTGATGTACTCCACGAAACCCTGCGTCGTCCAGTTCGGGATCGCATCGTTCCCCACCACCACTGAACCTCTCAATTGAGACGGCCTTGGACCTTTCTCGAAGTTCCCGTTCGGCAATAAACCTGAACACATATTTAATTTTTTTTTAAAAAAAGTAATTCATCATGTAAAATTATGCATGCATTACTCATCGTAAATAATATTGGGTGTGTTTGCGAGACTAGCTAATTACTTAAATAAAGATATTATTGCCAAGATAACCCTAGAGGACCCGAAAGAGCAAGTCTAATAATTTTTTTTTTAAAAAATAGGAATAATGACAATTAAGTACCTCCTAAAAGATTAATATCAAATCATGATTTTAAAAACAATTGACTATTCTAAGGTTGAAACCTAAAAAGATGAGTACCGTGATGAGGTCCTAGTTTAATATTAATTTTTTATTAGAGTTTTAGTTATCATTCTTCTATACAACATGCAAGAATAAGAGACGGCCTCTTTTGGGAACTAAAAATGAAAAAGTTAAAAATTTTATAATTATAATAAGATGCAGAAATATGGGTGAAGATCTAAAGAGCATTCAGACGTTGCAGGTGCACATGAATAGCAGGAAAAGTCACATGCAAGTACAAAGAAGCGTGTTGTAGACTTCTTTTTCATAAGCTTGCAGCATTATCATGTCATGTCATTAATTATATTATTGCAATGCTAATCTTCACTTCGCAGAAGTATTAAGTACATTAAACAAACACCTGATATACATATATAAATGATCAGTTAATAAGTGCCTACCGCATATGATAGTTATACTTATATACCAATTGATTTACGTCATAATTAGATCCAAAAATGAGAATTTAAATAGAGAGATCTCAGTTTTTTCCCCCCTTCTCACACACACCCCACCAAATTCATGATAGTGAGATGATCGGCCTCTCATTATTACTAAACAGTCAGAAGTTAAAACTACAGAATAGATAGATAGTACGAGGCGAAGAGCTTACCGTCAGAGAGAGACAGAACGGCGTCGTAGCTTGCTAAGAATAATACTAACAACACTTGAAGCTTCTGCATTTTTATCGAAACAAAGAGGGGGGGGGGGGGGGGGAGAAGTGTCGCACGTCGCGATCCAGCGAGGGAGGAGAGCACACTCTTTTATTCGAAACGACTCCAACAATTGCCACTGACTTTGAAGTAATATTACAGGAATGCCACAGCATATATCGTTCTTATTTATAAGTTGTTTTATAAAAAGAGAATGTGGTCTTAATTATAATTTTCCAAAAAAAAAAAATCAATTCTACCCATTGATTTAAGAAAGCATTTGCACACAAAAGAATAACAAACCTTGTTATCATCTTTCTTTAATTAATAAGAGTATAATTAAAAGGTTGAGATATTTTTACCCAAAAAAAACATAATAACTTTTCTTAAAAAATGTAAAAATATTTTAAATATCTTATAAATAGGATGAGAGGAAGTATACTTTTATTGAGAGACATTTGGTTTAACTAGCTGAGAAAATTAAATCAACTCTAAGATATTTGAATCTAAATCATAGAATATACAATCTAGATGGATGGTGGTAATATCCAGGGTTTTCAAGAACTAATAGAATAAATAAATAAAAAGGAGTATGCAAATTAAATGGAACCAAAGAGAGGCTGATAATTGTACAGTGCGAAGGTCACAAGTCTCGCAGACACTGCACGGAGCCAAAATTTTTATTTTATTTGTGGTGTAATAATCATCATTTATTGTTGGGCTCCTTTGGTGAGTAACGAGATTGACCCCAACTTTTGTCCTAGCTCCATTCTTAATTAAAATAAAAACTAAAAAAATAGTGTATATATAAAAATATGAGACTAGTTTCTAGAAAAAAAACTAAAGAAAGAAAGAAAGAAAAAAACAAGACTGATTAATTTTATTTATCAGGTAAAAAGAAATAAAAAACAGAGAGAGAGAGAGAGAGAGAGAGAGAGAGAGAGAGAGAGATCCACGAAATGAAGAACCCATATAGAAGGAAAAAACATTGAAATGAAATTTAGTAAAATTCAAAGCTTAAATTTCGTAAATATATTTTGTGTGTCGGGATATATCTGATTTTCGATTTGGGATAAAAAAAATTGGGAGAGTTGTGAGAAGCTTGAAATTTGAGGCAGAGATTTGGAAGGATATAGAAAAGGCATTGAAAGGCACATGCATTTTGTTCCAAATCCCAAGTAACATCCATTGTCGGTTTGTGGCTCATTGCTTCTTCTTCCGGTATACTATATATACTATAATCTTCTTCTACCTAGTTACGTTATTTCACCATGTTAATTAATTAATAGCTCTGATCTGCTTTTGATGATCCCACGTTCCTCTTGATCCAGCTAGAGAGACAAAGATCACTTATTCGGTGCAGGTTTCATCTGCATTAGTTAATCTTCCCTCTCACTCCCTTTATCTTTTAAGTAAACTTATCACGTGTCTTTGTGTCTTGCTGCATCAACTTTAATGGGTTCTACTACTCATGTCCTAGTGCATTCATGTTCACAGTAATATGTTCATTTTAAATTATAAGATACTTTTAAAAAAGTTTTTTCATCTTGAAATATAAAACACTTCAAATACATTAAGGTTTCATTAAATGCAATAATTTTAATATTATTTTTTTCTCTCTATAATTAATTTTTATCCTTTTTATTTTTAATATATTAAATGATGGGTATTTTTAAAAGTTTATATTTTTGTTTTGGAAAGATAAGGTTGTTAAGTTTATTTAGTAAAGTTTATTGATATGTGAGATTTTGTCTAAAAACATCTTATAATTTGGGACGGAAGGAGTATATTGCATCAACTTTTGATTTTATAAGAAAAATGATAATAAAATCTCTCGAATCATATAAATGACAATTTAGTTAATTCCTTGAAATATCATAATTCCAACTTTTATGTTAATAAATTTTAAATTGAGAAGAAAAGTTTACTTTTTTGACAAATTATAATTTCTTGTTTAATTGTTGTAATTCTTTAAATAAAATTGTTATTTCTTACATAAAAATTATGATTGGAGCTTGTTATTTTAAAAATTTATTTTTTAATAACAGAAATTACATTTGATAAATTATGATTTCTTGTTCAACTTTTACAATTTACACAATAAAAATTATTATTTCTTAAATACAATTTGTGATTGTGGTTTGTTATTTTTAATAAGAATAAAATGATCTAATTATTTTAAAATTTATTAACACAAAAATCCCTAAAATTTTAGTAAAATTATGACATTTTGAGGGATAAGATTGTTACTTATATAATTAGGAAGTTTTATTGTCTTTTTCTCATTTTATAATTTATAGTAATGTTCATTTATCATTTGAAATTTGATTGATTGAAAAAAAATTATCATACATTTTCACTTTTGTTGTATATCACTACACAATCTCCCATGATATTCTAGCTTTAATTAGAAAATTAAATTAAAATGTAAGATAAAATGAATTAATATTGTACACTACCTTGGCCTTTTGGGTCATTTTTTAGACGGCGTGATTGTATACTATATACAGGGAATCCAATTTCATCATGGCATAAATACATTAATGGACTGAAAATGAATATAATATCATATAATTCGCCTCCTGCCTAGTCATAACAGTACTTCTCTCAGTTTCTACTTTCAAATTTTTGCAAGTAATAGCTATATTAATGCTTTTTAGATACAAGGAGTATATATTCTATTGACAATAGGAAGATTAATCTCCAAGGTCAAGTATATATCCAGAGCATATGATAAAGTCTCCTCAGCTATGTTTGTTACATATATATTGGTAGATTAAAAATTGAATCACCAAATCACTCATTTAAGTAGATCTCAATATTCATTTCTGGATAAAAATTGTCTCTTTTTTGAAAGAGTTAAATGGTAAATTATTGGTCTTAAACTATAGGTTTAGGAGTGTATGAGATTTTAAAATTATTTTTAATATAATGTTCCCTTTAACTTTTAAAAATGATGCAATGTTGACTCTATTATTAACAAAAGTTAACTTTAATTATTTATTGATCATAAAATAATAGAAAATGACCTCAAATAAATGTCCTATAGCATTTATTACATTTCCAACAATTACAACAACTAAAATAAATCATCATTGGTTTGGATTACATATCTTATAGGAAAACACTAAACATGAAAATCCTCCTTAAACCTAAGAAAAACTACATAAAATGGTAGATTAGAGGACTAGGAAGTCGGAACTCACCTCAAGTGGTTGCACAACTTGAAAACAACCCCAGGTCGTCAGAAAAGCTTGCCCTAGAAGAGCCACACCAGAGCTCTCTCTCTGATTTTTTCCCTCTCTCTGGCATTCTGTCTAATTTCATAGAATCGGGACACCTTATAACAGTCTCATTTGTGCATGGTTGAGATAGGCAAAATCCTATCCGTGCATAAACACTGTTTATTTAAACGGTCCCATTTTTCCTTGGTTGTGTCCGTGCATGGTTAACCACTGTGTTGTCTTCATCTGTGAATAGTCGAATGTCAAAAGGCCCAATTCTACCCCTTTGAGCCCAATTTAGCCGAATCACTTATCTTGGACCCTAAGCCACATTCTTGTAAGACTATTGGCTCAATTTAAATCATAATTAATTGCCTCCTAAACATGTAATTAACCTCAATCAACCTCAAGTGCGCATTTATTCCTTAATTTCACCCCAAAATGAAATTCAACTCCTAAAATTTAAATCCTCATTTTCCCAATTTATCTCCTAAGCAAAAATTAGGGTGCTATAGTAGAGGCCATATTACACTATTTTAAAAAGTTAAAGGGAAGCATTGTCCCAAAAAAAAAAAATAAAGAAAGAGTTTGATTAGGATCACAAACGCTCGTGGACCTGTAATTTATGGACCAATTTACCATTTAATTCCCTTTTTCATAGAAATACAAAAGGATGACTAGAATTGACCAACCTTTGAATGAAGGTGACCGGAAACATGCATGGCAAAAAAAAATTGTTAAAAAAATGGAATATTTAGGACGAGAAACAGAAAAAGAATAGGGCGGTGGACGAGAACATGGATTAGAATCAAAGGGTGTGAGAGAGCATGAGTGGTGTTACATGTTTGATATTAAACAAGTGGGAAGTATTGGTTCTTATCCCAACAAGCAGCCCATGTGCTCTCAAGGGAATTTCCAGAAAATGTGCCTTAATTAATTCAATTAATCTCCCAACAATACAACATCCATCGTTTAATTTAGTGCCTCGGTGAAGGGAGTGTTAAGAAAGTATGAATTAGGAGAGGGTTCAATATAATTGGATTTTTATGTACCATTAACTAGCAAACAATTGGAAAGCTTTGCATGTTCACACAGATGATTCTGCTCATATATTTGCTTAATTATTGCAGTTTCAATTTCATACATTTGAAGCAATTCTTAATCATTCAATCAACTATATATGGCCCCTTATTTGTATGAAAGTTAATAGATGAAGTATATTATAGAAAAATATATTTGCAAGTTTTTATAGTTTTACTCAATTTTAAATTAAGTCTCTGTAGTTTATTTTATTTTAATCAAGCCTTTATAATTTCATCTATTATATATATTCAATTCTAAAAGTTAAAATTAATGATGAATAATTTTATTTTTTAAAAGGAAAAATGTAAGGATTTTAACTTGTAGAGATTAAAAAAATTTATTGGTTAAACTATAAAGGCTTAATTAAAATAAAATAAACTGTAAAGACCTAATTTAAAATTGAGTAAAATTGTAAGGATCTACAAATATATTTTTTCTTATATTATTTTTACATTGCAAACAGTATGATTTATTATAAATTTTATATCCTTTCATCTCAATTTATAAGAGATTTTTAGATAAAATCACACATGTTAATAAATCTTATTAAATACACTTTGCAACTTTACTTTCTCAAAACAAGAATATAAATTTCTAAAAATATCTTTTATTTAATATTCAATTTGTGAAAGAATATTAAAATTAGCGTGAGTGATAAGGGCTCTCGCCATTTAAGCAATTAATGATTGAGAGTTTGAATTTCAATCCTTTTATATGTAACAACTTAATTGGGAGAGATCTATCCTTTTGTGATGAGCACAAATCCAAAGGGAGGGCCCTTATCAAAAGACAAACATATTAGGTAGAAAAGCCTCTTAAATTTGTGAACTTCATTTCACTTATAAAACTCCCCAATATGAGATTTAAAACAATGTCGTCCCATCAAGAGTCGATATCCTCGGTGGCTTCCTCTTGCCAATCAAGACCCTTCATAAGTAGCCCTTTTCGTGACACGGCCTCTTAATGAAAGCATTAATGTGATGAGTACAAGTTCAAAGGAAAAGCCCCATCATAAAAGATTAGCCTCTAGATAAGAGAGTCTCTTAAATTTATAAATCTCATTCCACTTATGAGGCTCCTCAATATAGGATTCATGACACATTCTCTTACCATGCCTTGGGGGAAATAATATATGTTGTTGGTGGAGTCTGCTCCTTATGCTATTAAGAAAAAGAATATAATGAGAAGAGTAATATTAAAAAAGTATAATTTCTGAAATCTTACTTTTATCAAAGTGTCTTATAGTTTAGGAAGAAGATAGTGTTATATATTGATGATTATATGAATAAATTTTTATTACATTTATTTACTTAGACTGACATGAGAAGTAAGGATTCTCATCCCCTAAACAAAATGACTAGAGATTCAAATCGTAAGTTTTGTGCACAGAGAAAATCTAATTAAGAGAGGCATATCATTTGTCATTCATACTATAGAGAAAGGGAAAATTTTCAAGTCTGGCATAGATCAGCGATGATTAAATCTGTCGTTGCCATACATTTCCTAACTATCACATGCAAGTGATGACCCTTCTTAAAGGGATCTTAGATGAAGTTGAGAAGTTCAGCAGAAAGATTTTATGGAATTAATTTAAAAAAAAATCAAGGAAGATGCATCTTCTTCCCTTTAAAAAAAAAGTAATTAAAAAAAAGGAGGGCTAGGATTTAAAGATCTCTAAAAGCAAAACATGGCTTTTTTTATCAAATTGTATTGTTAGGGCCATTGTTTTAGGAAGTGAACCATTTGGACTATCGATTAGTCAGTGCCTTGATTTGAATCTAAAAAATTATATTTATGGTTGAGCCAGACTAAACTAGAATCAGGCTATCATTGAGCTCAAAGTGAGACTGATTCCAAACTCAATATTTAAAAAACTAAAAAAAATAAAAAAAAGGACCGTACTAAAATCTTACTTCATTTTTCACCCTTTACATGTATATAACACAATTTTGTGATCATTTTCTTGTAAAGATATTAACAGCTCATATGTACAAATGCAAATATTTTTAAATTTAATTATATTTAATTTAACTAAAATTTACTTACATTTAATAAGTTTTAAAGTTATGATTTATAATATTATTGATTTACAGTCATGTTGTTTTGTTTTATATATACAAAAATTATATATATTATGATTTTATTTCTTATATATATTTTTATATATACATTTAATATATATTTTTATTTAATTTTTATGTCATCGGTTCAATTACTAATATAATTAGTTAAATCATAAAAATTGAGACTCACCTACCTTTTCAGTTTAACATCTGATTCTGTATTTAAAACATTAGTTGGGGCTTAATCTCCAAACCAAATAGCTTATGGGAAAAAATAGTGGTTGGGACTTAATACATGTTGGGCCAGTCGGGTCCTATTTTTCATAATTTTGGGCTCATTATTGGCCCAAAAAAATAAGAAAACAAATCCATTCAATTCCATGGAGCTAAAACGAGAGGGTGCCTGCCAATTAAACGAAATCACTCAGTTTTAATTTACACTTGGACTAAGTCATTCATTTTTACCAAACTTGTATTGTTTGGCAAAGATACATCAAACCTATACTACATAACATTAATATAAAACATAAAATTTACAGAGAGACGTGCACTGTTTACGAGGTGTGAACAATACGTCTCAAGCATAAAAACTCCACCTAAATACCACCAAAAGTTCCACTCTTAGTATCATCATTATTACATATATAATTGCAAAATTAACTACAATATCAAACTCCACTATTTTTCATTGCACAAGCTTTGCATTAATCTAGGAGTCCGATTCGCTTGCAATTTCATCAGGACGCACTTGCAATGCCTTCTCGATCATGCAGAATAATAAAAAAAAAAAAAACCAATTTATGGTCAGTTTTATTGAGTAAAATAAATGAATGAATATGTTAAAATTGTGTAATGTTTATACATGTGTGTGGGCATGTCTCTGATGATCTTGATCTGATCTGAAGCTAAATGATCTGAGCTTCAACTCTCCTCTACCAGTGGTGGCCTCGTCTAATATCTCTCCATCAGCCATTTCCCTTGATCCCATACTTCCCGAATCCGCATCCTTATACATAATTAACAACAACAAATCAGGAAATCAAAATATTGATTAATTTATATAAGAAACTTTTGAGCCCTACAGTTTTGCTTTTATGGAAGAGCAGAAACAAAAAAGAAAACCAAGTTAGATACGTGGGAGTCATATACTCTCTGATTGGATCGCTTGCAATACAAGTCCAGATTAAATTATTTATAATGCAAGAGTAAAAATTAAATGGCTAGTTAGGTTTAAAACATTTCGGTCTTAAAACATAATTTAATAATAGTTAGGTTTTAAATAAAAACCGCTAAAAATTTATGTTACAAATTAAATGTAAGAGTCTTGGCTGAAAATATGATATTTAAGTTTCATAGTGATTTGCAATTTAATATTCTCATATTTGCAGCAGTTTAATTAAATATTTACAACTTATTTTTCAGCAATTTTTTAGATTTAAATATTATTAAATTATTTTTTAATGTCATTCTCTTAAAATAAATTAATAAAGAATAAACTATGTAATAGTTTTTGAATTTTTTTCTGAAATTGTTCAATTTTTATTTGAAAAATGCATAAAAAATTCTTGAAAGAGTGAAACAGACGCACTTGAGTTTTGGTTAAATAACAAAATTTTCTTTTGTCCAAAATATGTGGAACCTCATTAGAAAAAGGGGTAAATCTGTAGGTGTTTTCAATAAGGCACAAGATATGTACGTATATTTTTATTTTCATTTAAAAGGAAGGTTAGGCTATGTATATCTTAGAGTGGATGCTTGTATGATATCAATTAAAATTAAAAATTAGAGAAAGATTTGTATTCTGCTTTTTATATTATAAAGAACGCTTATGAGATTTTTTAAAGATAAAAAATTATGTCGACTTTTCCATTCAGTTTATCAACAAATTTAATTTATCTTAATTTTTGTTTCATTCGTTAAAGCTAAGCAAACCAAATTTCTTAATCAGGGGTTCTCTAATTAGAGAAGCAAGAGATATCAAGGCCCAAAAAAAAAAAACAAAAACAAAAACAAAAAGAGGCAAGAGATATCATATCATACGTACCTGGGAAGAAGAGAGACGAAATGAGAGTCTTGGTGTAGCGGCAATTTCTTCATACTCAGCAGCATCGAGCTCCTTCAAATGGCGAGGATTGAACAGCTTGGGAAGCAGATACTGTCTTAGTACGATCAACACAAAGAAAGGCAAAGGAAACAAGATTCCTGCTATGGGAATCCAAGTCACTCCAAACACAACCAACAGATACACAAACTGGAACAGTGTGAACCACACTATGGCTCTGATCGGCACTGTCTCTACAAACGAAGCATGGTCTCCTTCATACACTCTGTATCGTCTGTTGGGAGATATGAAGATGAATATTATCCTTTCCCAGAACTGGTTTCCAGGAAGACTGTCAATGGCCATGTATGCGAAGTAGCCCCACAGAACTGAAGTTGGGATCTTCTTTATCACAGGCATGGCAAACACTGATGCTCCGACCATTATGGCTTGCAAGAGATTGCTCACTCTTTGCTCGTTCACTCTTATGGGAAGATGCTTGTCAATGTGTATTGCTGGGTCGAATGATTCTTTCTCTTCCTCTTTCAGGACTGCTTCTTTCAGGTCCTCTAGTTCTTTCACCACTGTATTCTGCAAAACATTACATGGAGAGAGCAAAATAATCCTCTTTGGCAATGAGGAAATTATATACATGATGACTTAAAATTGATTAGGTGATGGCTTACAATTGGGCTTTTGTCTATTTCTACGAACACTTGCTGCAAGTTTCCATAGATCTCAGAGCTGCTTGCCTTGCGCCTCATGCTTTCTTTCACGCTTTCCATCATCTTCCTTCGAATCAACTGTGTCACTCCATGTTCAGTCAATCAAAACAAAGCGTGTACATTGACCAACTTGTGATGGTCATCAAGTCTCATATATGAAGCAAGTGCCTTAATTTATATGATCAGCAAATAGAGTTGAAGATTCACGAACCTGTTTCTTGAGAACAGCAAGGCTTTTAGTGTGCATGGGGGATTGAGGAAGAACGCCATTGGAAGGTGGTAAACCAAGCAACCCACAAAGCAGAGTCTGAAGATTAATTTCTTCATGATCAGATCAAATTAAAACACGACTCTTTCATTAAAGAGAGATCAGATATATACCATGAATCCTAGCAGCAAGACGTCATAATGATAAGCAGAAGGTTTCTTGAGATTGAACTCCTTCTGTTGTGCCAACTGAGAAGCAACACTATGATCAAAGAAGTACAGACCTGCTATCATCAACGCAGGAATCATAGCACCAAATATATATGCAGCTGGAACCCTCCCCATGTCCTGCAATTTTAAAATATCATCTTGTTAAGTAAAACATAGTACTGTGCATATATATGCAATATAGCGTAGAATATTACTGTGATGACTGTCCAATGGCGTAAAGAAGCAGATTCCCAAGCAAGAGGAGCAAAGAGCTTTCTAGGGACTCCAGTGGGAAGTTTACTTGGGACTGTGTAGGACAGTGCTGACCAGACTATCACCATTAATGGAACCCCATAGTCAGCCAAGAAACTTCTTAACTTCCCTGTACAAGTCATATATATGTAGGCCTTATTAGCTTCAAAGGTCGTTAATTAAATCAAATAGTCGAGACTAGTCAGAATACACACACACTCTTCATAGTCTTTGAGGTGTAGCATATTAGATAGTTTCTTTTCTCATTATATATGTTACTTATTTTACCTACTGCAGTTGGATAACTGATCAGGTATCATCACTTTGCTTGTAAATTAGCAGTTAGATCCTATGGTTCAATGAAAGTCTCATGTATACAGTCTAAGTGTGTCCTCTAGCTAATTAATTTATTCGTGATCAGTGATGATTAATTTGAAGTGCTGCGTCTTGTCTAATTAATTTAAAAATATTTTGTAATTTCACAGTAACAGTAACAAACCTGTGGCGTACAACCATGATCTAGCTTTTCTGGTCTTGAGAGAAGAAAAGAGAAGGCCAAAGGAGAATATAATTCCCAATATTCCATTTGCGTATAGCCACTGAAATTTGTACTTCTCTAATGTTTGGTCTTCGTGTTTGGGAATCTTAAACTCACTCACCATTCCCTGCAATTAGAAAAATCAGGTTCAAATATATCGCACCTACTTTAAAATTATCTGATCATGTTAAATATTCTCTATATGTATTTATGAAATAATAAACCTTGATGGCCTCTTGAACGAACAAGACTGTGATCAGCATGCCAAACAGTTCGCCGGCGATTCTGGTGAATCTATTAATAATGGCACCGGCGTTGAATATTGCCAGAAGAATCAACATCAGAGCTGTCCAAACGCAAACCCTGAAAAAGTTTGGATCACATAAATCTCGCATGGATTTAACCTTTCAAATTAAAATAATTAATATAACTTACTTTGAAATTAAAATTGATATGATTATTATTCTTACCATCCAGCCCAAGCTAGGAAGAGTTGTGGTCCCAAAGCATCCCTATCTTTGGCAAAATTGTACAGGTAACTGTACATGATGATTGTGGGTTCTGCAACTCCCAGTATTAGCAGAGGCTGCCCTCCCAAAATTGAGTGTATTATTCCACATATTGCAGTTGATGCCAGTGTTTCTACTGAGCTCAGGCTTCCATCTTCAAACAAATTAAAGCCACAAGATATTGGGTGAGAAAACAAACGAGCAAGGAACAGCGGAAAGTAATCTACATCTTAACTTTAAGAGCTAAATTTACAAGTCCTTAGCTTCCACCTTATTACATGTTAGTTGTTAAGCACAACTTTTTTTGACGTAGCATTCTCACATTGACTCAAGGCCAACCCGTAGTTAGACAACCTAACAATTATAAGCATATTTGATCAAAGTTTAAAGGTCATTAAAGCACGACACAGCTATACATAACACAACATGCATGCATTATCCGTCCACAAACATCCCACTCTTCTTTAATGGATTTCTTCATTTTCTTCTTTTTTTTCCCATGTGTTTAAAACCATGAAGAAGGAGAAGAGAAGAACCTGTATCTCTATCGATCTGTTCACCAAAGGCTATCACGGGAAGAGCAGAAGCAAAGAAGATGTAAGTAGTTGGAGCCAATATCCTATATATATCAGAATGAAAATGAATATTAAAGATTGCGCTTTGAAGTTTGAAGAACTATAAACTACGAGGAATCATACATATAGTTTAGAAATAGGGAGATTACCCGATTCCCGAGCAGATACCAGAAATCCAATCTTCCTTGTAATACTTTGCTCTTCCTCTGATATCACTAACTACACCCTTGAAGGGTGTCTTCAGGTTTTCCATGAGGGAGCAACAGAACGAAAAAGTCTGATAACTCAGAGAGATTATAATTACTTTTGTAATGCAGACACACAGAGAGAGAGAGAGAGAGTACGTTGATGGGTTATTAAAATGATTATTGAAGAGGAGAGAATACAGGAAGAAGCTGCGCGAAGCAATGTCTATGTCTATGATCTCCAACAACTTCAATGCTTCATGATAGTATTTAGTCATTATATTTGTACATGGAATCAGGCTTATAAAATGATTGATTAAAAAAAAAAAAGAGGAAAAGGCCAAAGAAATAGGGAAAATATTAAGAGGCAGTGTCCTTCATGCATGCTTCGGTCGGTCATTTTATAATGAATACAAATATATATATTGGGAACTGGTTTCCTGCTCATGACAGTGCTTATCCTTTCGATGAAATATGGATCGTCTAGATAGATCTGATTTAAAGTATTATTATATATTATATTTATTAAAATAAAAATTTATAAAATAATTTTACTAATTTTTTATTTTTAATATGATATAAATTTAATTTAGAGGGTTCAATTTAATATTAAAATTTTTATAATTGATGCATATTGACTATCTAAATGTATTATGTATGGTCCAGATTACCCTCCAAATTAAATCTAGCTAGATTAGATTAAAAATAAAAATATTTATTAAAATTATTTTATAATTTTTATTTTAATAAATATAAAATAAAAATATATAATAATACTTTAAATCTGCACTATCCAAATTAAAATCTATATGGTCCAGATCTCATCACAGGATGAGCAGGAAAACTGGGTTCTACACATACTTCAACTCTGCTGATCCCAAATTATAAAATAGTTTTAGGAGAGATTTAATATTTTAATAATAATAAGTTTAATTAATGATGCTTTTTCAAATTTACTCTTCCCATTATATTCTCTCTTTTAATATTTTTTATGAAAGGAGTATTAAATAAGGATATTTTTTAAAGTTCTTTTTTTGAAAAAGAAAATAAAGTTATAAAGTGTCTTTAATTAGTTGTATTGATATATGTGATTTTGTTCAAAAATGTCTTATAATTTGAAAGGGAGAGAGTATTTAATTTAGATTTTCCAAGTAAATTTTAGGAAAATGATATTAAAAGACCAAAAGATTGAAAAACTTAAATAAGGATAAAAAATTTGGAAACACTGAATGAGGACAAAATATTTGCTCTAAAAATTTGGTAATATAATTTAAAAATTTGCGATCAACCATTAAAAATAAAAATTACAGGTGAAATTTTTTAATTTGTAAAAAAAGAATTGATCGAACATATCACCATTTTCCAGTGATTTGTTATTCTCCTACTTTTATTTACAACCCTTAAAACACGATTTTGCAAATAATATTTTTTTAATTTGTGAAGGAAAATGATTTCCAAGTAATGAATGACATTTTTTACAATTTTTTATAAATTAACAAATTTAACTTAAACTTTTTTGTTTTGAAAATCATGGAATATCGAAGTAGTTAGCAAATTTTTAGACCAAATGATCACTGGAAGAAATTTGGTAGTTATTTAGAATTTTCAAATCTTTTAGGTTCCTTCTTTGATGTCATTCCCCCTAAGTTTTAACCATCTAAATTTTATATTACTTCTTTTCATAATTTTAATGACTTTATTTTAAAACATGTGAATTTTAACTGCTGATTCCGATCCAAATTAATAAAATAAAAGTAAAAAACTTCAAATATTATTTTTTTGAAAAAATATAAAAGGTTAGAAATGATAAAAGGATGAATACAGCGGTTATGTTTATAACCATGATTCGTTGGGTAAACACATTTATTTATCGGCCAAGGGTAAATACACTTATGATAATCACTCATTTCGTAAAATATAATATATAGTAACGCTTCAAACTGCTATGCATAAAAATTCCAATTTTATATACGTCAAATATAAATGGAGTTAACATTTTGGCTCCCAATCTTTCACTGAATTAAGATTATAAGATTAGGTAGTCAGATAACTCCACGTATTAGTAAAATAATAATCGCATATAATTATACTCCAAATTAATCATACATATTCTGATGACAAATACGACAAATTGATAAGAGTTGACATTTCTCACTAAATTAAAAGGTTAGGTAAAGTGAGATATATATAACCAAACAATATTATTTTGTAAAATAGTTTAAATTATACAAAAAAAAAAATAACGTATTTCATATAAGTCCAAATGATGCAAGCTTCCAGCCACAAGAACTCGTTCCACAGATACGAAGGCAATAAATTAAAAAGATTCGCTTACTTCTATGTTTTGAGAAGTTTTGTGTCTGCATGAGTTGTTCAACCCATAGAGGTTCCCACATCGCATATTTAATCGTTCAAACTTGATTATTGTAAGATGTCTGTACATGATATTTAAAAAAAAAATTGAGAGAGAGATGATTCAGTTTTTGTCAGAAATCTTAATTTGTAAGATGCTGTTGAAAAAGATTTGATCAGCATACTAAAATATAAGATATTTTAATAAAAATAGTATTTTATTAGTTATCATTTTCTAATATTATCCTTCCCATTTTATTATCTCTCTAATATTTTTTGACAAATAAAGTATTGAGCATAAGAGGTAAATTATAAATTTATTTTTTTCACAAAAAAAGAAAAACAAAAATCTTCATCTCAAATCTCAATATTGTTGATTCTGATGGCCAACGTTAATATCCGTCAATGAATTGAGCCCTTTGCGAGAGATAAAGAAATCAAATTAAAAAATCCCACATCTAGAAGATATAAAATACGTTAAGAATATATAAAAACATAGAGTTTGTCTTACTAAATAACTTAAATTATTTTAATAAAGTAGATTACTCTCAAGTGTGATTAATATAAAGACTTTATCGCGGTTAGCCAAGAAAGAAAATATATAGGTGGCAATATAATGTCACTCTCCTCTTTCGTCACTGTAGGAATCGCAAAGCAATTTTGCTTCCTCCTCGAGACCTTTGTTCTGGAAATTCCACGAATATGTGTAGTTTCCAGTAAATGCGAGACCATTATGTATTTATTAGTCTATTATTTTATACATGGGATTCTTCCTGCCCTTGGTAATAATATCCCAAAAGTAAATTATTTTTAATTGTCAAACAATAATACTTCTCAAGAAAATATCATTAATTTTTTTTTTTTGAAAAAACAGAGTCATTCTCTTCAGCAATTCTAATTTTTTTAAAAAAAAAATTTGCAGCCCTATTTGTAACTAACTAATTAATATTCACAATTTATTTTTTAAAAAACTTTCATCAGAGATTTAACTGTGGTTAATAATTTCTTATTTTAAGACTTTATACTGTCAATTTCTTCTTAAAACTTGGTCATAATAAAGTAGTAACAGTGAATGCCATGCTGTCTGCTTAGGGTTAGGAGTAGCTGGGACGAGGCATAACGAGCAAAACAGGGGAATTATCCCATTCATTGGTGATTAATTCTTTATTAAAATAATTCCGCATTCAACGGTTCATGCTTATTCAAAGAATCAAGATCCACGTCCGTACCTTGTCAGTTATACACGGCATTGACATTTTAATTTTTTTACCGCCATATTCCATATATTGGCTTTTTAATATAAATCAAACTTAATCAATATTGAACTAAAATATATCTTTAATTATTTAATTTTATATAAAATTTTATTTTTGTCCCTTAATTTATAAAGTGTCCTTTTGGTCCTCTAACTCTAATATTGCTAGCTTTGTTAACAATTTTTTTTTAAACTTTTAAATATTGATAAAGTATTTTCAAATGTAAACATATTAACTTTAATTTTTAAAACAATAATGATAGAAAAAAATAACCATTTAAAATTAAAAATGTTAGAATTAAATGATTAAAAATATACTTTATAAAATTAAAAGACTAAATTAAAATCTTATACTCTCTCTGTTAAAAAATGTAAGGCATTTTAATCAAATCTCACTTCTCAATAAAGTAGTTACCTACTTTTCAACTAACCCTATCTTTTTATATTTACTTCTATTAAATACCCTATAGTAAATATAAAGTTATTATTAATTAGGGCATTTTTTTAAAAAAGTAATGATTATACCTTAAAAGACTAAAATGCCTTATATTTTTTAATAAAAAGAGTATAAAGTTAAAGGATTAAAAATACCATTTAACCTTAACATTGCACTTATTGAGAAATGATAGTTATGTAAATTGTTAAAATTGTTAAAAAAAAGTCTAACTTTTTAATTTTGTCCTTTTTGTAATTAATAACCATAGTAAATTGTTATATTTAGAAATTTAAATGATAATAAGTAAATAATAAGTAAAATTAAAAAAATTAAGAAAAAATTAATTATCTGATCCCTATAATTTTAATCCAATTATAACTCAATTTTTAAACTTTAACTTATTGTAATTCAATTTTTGTAATTTTAATTCGATTGTAATTCAGTCCTTAAATTTTATCTCTTACAACTCAATCTTTATAATTTTAACAATTTAAATATATATTAGTCTCTATATTTTAAAAAATAAAATATAAAATTAAAAATATGTTAAAATTTTAATATTTATAAAGATTAAAAGGGTTTATTAATTTAAAATATTAGTCATAAATTTTAATACAATTTAATCTTTATAATTTTATTTTTTAAAATATAGGAATTATTACTTAAATGGTTAAAACTATAAAAATTCAGTTGCAATAGTCAAAGTCTAGTGATTGAGTATAATCAAGTTAAAATTTTAAGAATTGAGCTACAAGTTAAAGTTTAGGGACTAACTTATCATTAAATTAAAATTATAAATATTAAATTATTAATTTTTTCAAAAATTAATTACTCTAACTTTTCCCTGTATAAAAGAATGGAGGGAATATATACAATACAAATGATATAATAATATTAATCCCTCAACGATCAAATACTCCCTAACTTTCAAAAGAGAAGGTACACATATTGAGTTTCAAGATGCAATTAATACATTAAAATGTCAAACCTAGGAATATTAAAAATGATATATAAATTGATAGTTGGGCCATGAAAATGATAAATGGACAAATACAACGGTTACGTTCAGAATGATGATTTTTTGGGTAAAAGATATAGGAAAAAACTTATATATTTAGTTTTATATATTTATTATAATTTTATCTGATTGAATTAAGATATATAAATTTTAATATATTAAAAATATTAATAATAAA